GCCAATGTCGATTTTACCAAATCAGTTTTCTCAGATTTTTTCCATTTCATAAGGAACACCAATTCACCATCTATGAATGTTGCGCCTGCGAGACAGACAAAATAAAATAATTCATATTTTTTTCTTTAAAAAAAACATTTCAAAAAAGACGAAGTTCAAAAAATGTGAAAGAAAGAATATTTTATGAACATATAATTCAATCTCTTACCCAGAATTTTTTCGGGATCCATACGATCAAATCTTGTTTCTTCATTCGTCACCATGACTATGTGTTACTTTTGTTTTATTGTAAAGTAAGCTGCAGAAAAATAGATAGAAATGAAATGAACGTGCGTATTCTATGAGTGTAATAAATGAAGTAAGGTGAATATGTCTCCTCTTAATTTATTTGTGTTTGCATTTCTTTGCAGGTTTCAATACATTTTAATATGTTTGCTTCAATTTTTTTTAAATATACCAAAATATGCACACAAACAATTAAACTAACAATGAATGCAGCTCTGTGGTTAAATTGTCGGTTGTCAATTTTCGATTTGAACTGAATAAAACGTGTGTAGTATACTAGTGTGTGACATTTGAAAACTTAACCGATAGCTGTCATAGCCGTTAACTGCACCGGTTGGAATGTGCATTTAGTGATGAAATGAAAAACGAACACACAAACAATACATTTAGATACATTTGATATTATGCAGCTTTGATATATTTTAGTTCTTTTATTAGTCTAATGACAATGAAGAATTAAAGGGACTCAAAATATTTTTCAACCAAAACCATCGAAACCAGCGATTTTACATTTCGCTCTCAATACAAAATGATTTGACACTGTATGATTTTAAGCTTAAATTGTCCAGACCGACTCTTTTTGAATATGTGAAGAAACTTTATGCGAAAGGCTTCTGCAAGCGTCTCCATTTATCTTATGAAGTCGTATATTACGTTGTGTTCAATGGAGTGGCATAGATACGTCAAAGGTTTCATAGTGGCCACTTATCATTGATTGATATGCTGTGTGAAGTGAAATTGAACTATTCCGTGTGCCACAATTATTCCATTCATGATCTAGACATACTGGCAAAAAGACTTATAAATCTTGAACACATGTTTTCTAGTTTTATTTCTACTGATGGAATTCAGTCACTGGTTCAACATTCACCACAACTACGTGAAATTATTATTCACACTTTTGAGGGCAAAAATAATGTCTTCGATTTGGTTGCGTTGAAATTGAATGGTGCAAAAAAGTTGACAATTTTGTAAACAAATGTTGATTTAAACTGATAAATGATAACAGAAACCGTTTTCAAATCAAATGATACATGCTTCCAATGTAAACGCGCTTCCAATGAAAATCAGCGTTATAACGCAGCGTTATTTTTTCCGCATCAGTTACTGCGCACTGGCAACTGTCAAAACAAACTTCATGTGATAAAAATGGAAAGAGAGTAAACGGTAGATAGAAAGGAGCGATGAATCTGAACTGTCAAAGTTAGTTATTACATCACGCGTTTTTATAATTTTCATCGGAGCAATTCAATTTTTATTTCACTTTTGTGTAACACACAACGACGACAACGACTATTTGTTATTGTGATTAAACAAAATAGAGTCAAAACGGCAACACAATGATTTAAAATCCATTATTCAACAATTCAACCAGATAACCATTGAGTCGAAGAATTGTAATATTGCATGAGTGGATGTGAAATTTCATTGACATCAATTGAGAGAGATTGAATTTTATTTGCAAAATTGTTGCGACGACCATAAGTGTGATAGAACGAAACAAAGTTTTGCATATTTATTTTCTCCCGTTGTTAATTTGAAAAAAAAAGTGCAAAAAGGTGATGTTGGCTCAGATGCAATAGTGAGATTCGATTATGTCTGATTTTGGATCTGAAAATAATCAGGTAATTTTTTGATGAGAATGACGAAATGTATTGAAGACGAGTTTCGAATTTTCCGTTGTTCGTATTTGCTTCGATATTGTTAAATGTCATTTATTTGTGTTGTTGTCTTTTTTACTACGTTGCTCATTGAAACAGCTAAATTTAGACATTGCGATTGAAATCGGTCGTATCCAGCTTTTGTGCCAAAATTAAGATGCAAAAAAAACTATGATTGGTTTAGTTGACGTCGTACTTAGAAGAATCGATTTAAATGGTGCTCATCAATAGTACGTTCTAGTGCCGTGTGCATCATTGATTTTTCTTTGAATTCGCATTGAGACTTGTTTCTAAAAACAAATATCGACCGTCGGATCAATTGAAATGGATGATTTTCTTCAAATATATTTGGAGAAAAATCGATAATCAATGCATCGCATAGTTTCGCTGTTTCAATGTTCGTCGCAATCGTTAACTTCATCGGCAACTTTTCACTTATGTTTTATGTTTGATTTTTATGCCTTTTTTCAGTTGTAATCTTCAGTTTGTAAGCACTATCCACGTTCATAAAAAAAAGCTACAACACCAGTAAAGAAAACACATACACCATTCAAGATTTTTCATTTTTGTTCAGATATTTCATTTGCAATTGGTAAAATTTATTTTTCTTTTTGTTGTTATTTCAAACTTGTTTAAGTTGCTGACAAGAAGTGACAATCAAACCAACAAAACATAAAAACTATTGAATTTAAGATTCTCCTAATTGTGTTGTTCGATTCCGTTGTGGTGTAATTTATGTGAATAAAAAACATAACCCCAAAATTAAAAAAAAAAACAACTACTCGCGAACGGATTCATTGCAAACTAAATTTAAATAAAAAAAAAACAAACAAAATTCTGTGCAACGCATTGAACATTGTATTATGGCTGTTTATTTGAATCGAACCCTATCGATCATGTCTGGAAATCTTGGGTCCCCATCGCATGAAAACGGATTGGATCGTTCACTACATAACGTTGCCTACGAAAATTCACCACTACAGATCTTCGTCAAAGCTAAAAAGAAAATCAATGACATTTTTGGCGAAATTGAAGAGTATGTCGTTGAAACAGCACACTTTATGGATGGTAAGTACTTATTATTATGTAAACACCAAATATAAATTACCGGCAATGCCACTCGATATTTTATAGATCACAATGCCGAGATTGCAATCATCGACAAAGCTGAATCCGAACAATTTCAAAGTTATGTGCACAAAGTGGCCGCAATACGACAAGTTTTGAATCGAGATCACATGAAAGTCGCATTCTTTGGACGCACAAGTAATGGTAAAAGTTCCGTGATTAACGCGATGTTGCGTGAGAAAATTCTACCATCGGGCATCGGACACACAACAAATTGTTTCTGTCAAGTCGAAGGAGTCGACGGCAACGAAGCATACATGGTCAAAGAAGGCTCCGACGAACGACTTAATGTTACCGTAAGTTGTCGCACACTAAATTGAATAAATTGTTTTTTTTTTTCGGTATAAAAAGTTTGTTTGTAGTGTGATGTCACAAAACATCAAAAGTACAGATAAACATCTGTACAATTCTAGTTATACATCGTAGTTTGAATTTAATATCTGAGATGAATGTTTGAAAAAATTGCATCATAACCATTTTTGTCGATGACATCATTTTTACAGAATGTGCAACAGTTAGCAAACGCTCTTTGCCAAGAAAAATTGTGCGAAAGTTCAAAAATTCGAATCTTTTGGCCTCGTGAGCGTTGCAGTTTGTTGAGAGACGACGTTGTATTTGTGGACTCTCCTGGTGTTGATGTTTCGCCAAATCTTGATGATTGGATCGATAACCATTGTTTGGATGCCGATGTATTTGTACTGGTCTTGAATTCAGAATCGACTATGACAATTGCGGTTAGTTTTTCATGTGTGAACAATTTACTATCAAATTATCTAGCATTTCCTATAAATTTACCAATCTATGCGATTTCTTATTTAATGCAGGAAAAGCAATTCTTCCACACAGTGTCGAAACGTTTATCAAAACCGAATGTATTCATTTTAATGAATCGCTGGGATGCATCGGCAAACGAACCAGAATTTTTGGAGTCGGTAAGTGTTTGGTGTTCAAGACCATAAAATTCATGTAAATTCAAGTTAGAGGAACATTTTTTTCACTTAGTGTCCTTTCTCTTTTTTGTACCCGTTTCGAACGAATTTGAAACAAAAAATCCCATTTGTATTCAGAAGGATTTCGATAAGGTTTGTGCATAGCATAAAAGTTTCGATTGTATAATTTAAAGAAGCTTTGCAAGCACTTTCCATTCAATTATTTTACCAAAGTAGAAACGAAAACGATTTTATGATTTCTCATGATCATCTTTATGTTTTGCATCAAACTGATACAAATTTCAATTTGTCATCATTTGACTAATAATTTACTTTATTATTCCAGGTGAAATCACAACATCAAGAGCGTTGCATCGATTTCTTAGTTAAAGAATTGAAAGTCTGCGCTCCGAAGGAAGCCGATGAACGAGTATTCTTTGTGTCAGCACGTGAAACACTTCAGGTAGGCTATTCCCCCCAACATTCAAACATTTCTCAAGAGTTTCTTCATTTTGCTATTCATTCTAGGCACGTATTTGCGAATCAAAGGGACAGCCACCCTCTGGTGGTGCTCTTGCTGACGGTTTTTCAAATCGTTACTTTGAGTTTCAAGATTTTGAACGTAAGTTCGAAGAGTGCATATCGAAGAGTGCGGTGAAAACAAAGTTTGAGCAGCACAGTTCACGTGGAAAAACGATTGCAAATGAAATGCATCAAATGCTTGATGAAATCTATGAAAGAGCCGGTTCAATTCGAAATGAAAAACAGAAGCAAAGGGCACAGCTAACCGATCGCATTGGTCACACCGAACAGGAATTGATGTCGATCACACGTGAAATGAAATTGAAAATCCACAATATGGTCGAAGAAGTTGAACAGAAAGTATCAAAAGCATTAAACGAAGAAATATGGCGATTGAATGTGTTAGTTGATGAATTTAATTTGCCGTTCCATACCGAACCGTTAGTTTTGAATGTGTATAAAAAGGAAATAAATGGTCATGTTGAAAGTGGATTGGGGTCAAATCTTAAGTCACGCCTATCGACCGCATTAGCTATGAATATCGAAACCGCTCAACGTGAAATGACCGAACGAATGCACTCACTCATACCAACCGAAAGTATCAAACAACAAAGCAAACAAATTCTCGCACGAACACAACCATTCGAAATGTTTTACACATTAAATTGTCAAAATTTGTGCGCCGATTTTCAAGAGGATTTGGAATTTAAATTTTCATGGGGTATCACTGCGATGATTCAACGATTTACCGGTAAAGCCAAGAAGCATCCAAACAAAAATGCTATCATGTATAATAACAGACAAAATAGCACAGCAAGTGTAAGTTAAAACACACCACTTTTAATTTTTTTTTTTTGTTTTTCAAACATTTTCGTTTGCTTTGTTCACAGATTCCAAACGTACTAAGCCCAATTACAAACGAACCAAATGTACCTCATCATGGCCTTATTCAACAAACAGGCATTTCGCAGGAACAAATCTCAGTGATATCACGATTTGCAATGGCATCGATTGGATCACAAGGCACCGTTGGGGGTCTTGTCGTCGCTGGATTTGTAAGTGAAATTTTTTTTAATTGCTCATTTTTCATTCAAGTTGAAAAAAAATATTGAATTCAAATGAAAGAATTCCAATAAAATGTCGATTAAAAAATTCATTTGATTTGACAGTTGCTGAAGACAGTTGGATGGCGTGTGTTAGTTGGTATTGGAGCATTATACGGTTGTGTCTACTTTTACGAGCGCCTCTCTTGGAATAATTCGGCTAAAGAGCGAACATTCAAAGAGCAATATGTTCGTCACGCGACCAGAAAATTGAAATTAATCGTAGATCTGACATCATCAAATTGCAGTCATCAAGTGCAACAGTAAGTGATTTTCGATCAATTCTTTGACATTTTTCAGTTCAAAAAATTAATCTAGTTGTGTGTCTCTTTCAGAGAGCTCTCGGGTACATTTGCTCGTTTGTGTCGTGTTGTTGACACTGCTACCGGAGACATGAGCGAAGAATTGAAGAAAATTGAGGCTGAACTCGCTATACTCGAAGGAAATCAAAAGAATCTTAAACTTCTACGCAACAAAGCAAATTATATTTCAAGCGAATTAGATATTTTTGATACAAATTATCTACGACCAAATTGAATTGCCAACCCAATACGATAAGGGGTATCTAATTCATTTGTTTTAATTGTAAAAACAAAAATGTTGATTCATATTTGAAGCAAAAAAAAAACTTCGAGCAAAAAATGTCATAATTTCTTTCAGTTGAATCTATCTATTTCATTTCTGATCGGTATCCGGCAAAATTAGGCCAAACAAATTTTTAGAAATTATTATGAAAAAAAAACACAAACACAGGAGAGATTTCAGAAAGCGATATAATCATGTAGTAACATTTGATTTTGAAAACAATTAGTTAGCGTTAGCATTAAATGCAGCATTGACAATTGTCGAATGTAAATTGAATTACTATATATTTAATAAAACAATTGAACAGTAAAGGAATGAATGATTGATTCGATCTTAGTATTATTCGATTAAACTATCTAAAAATGTATTTTTATTGATTAATTTGGTCGTTGCAATCACAAATTCGACGTTATTATCTTCCTGTCGCGATAAAAATCGAAGTGCAGATATTTCGGCGAAAGTGCAACCGCCGAGAAAGAATACCAATATCACTTTGGGCGTGTCAGATTGGGACATTTCACTACTGAACGACCCACGACGCGTTGTAGACAGTGCTGATTGACCATTTGATTGATAGTCTTCAAATGCTGGTCCCGGTAAACATGATAACACATCACTCAACGACTGCCAACCGTTCGGCTTAAGTGCGCGTTCAACGATTCGAATGGTCAAAGGAGCATAGAATGTGTGCACGTAGCTTATATCGTTTGGTGTCACTTCATTTGTATCTTCAACGGTTAGTTTGAGAGTCTGTTTTTTCGAGAAAAATAGTAAATATCTTAAGTAAAATGAATTCTGATATTCACAATCAAAATCTACCAACCTTCCGTACAACAGCATATGTTCGGCTTCCAGATTGAACTTTTAGCAATCCAGCCTTTTCTAAATTGCTAATTGCAAGTAGCTTCTCGATTCCGTAAACTTGGATCAATTCCCTTTTGTAATAATCGAGAACTTTTTGTTTCAAACCCGATCCGCCAATACTTTGCATACAAATCAATCGTATAACCGTTTTAAATGGCGCTTGATTAGCAATCAAATCTTCAATGAATGGATTTACTTTGTCGACATCTGAACAAACCAAAAATTCCTGTTCACATTCCAGTTCATCCAAAAATTCATCTGACGATGTGACTTCTTTCAGTAGTTCGGCGATTGTTGTGTGCGTTGTTAATGACTTTTTATAGGCCATCATATTTGGCAATCGTTCAACAAATCGCTTTATATCCTGTACCGATTTATCGTTGTGACGTTCATCCAATTGTTTGCTGATTTCATTGGCACGTCGTGACAGAATCTGTCCAATGGCATTGAAATTTTTATCTCTTAGTTCCGTGTACAGCTCTTCGCTCGAATTTAAAATGATCGTCTTTTTATCGGATACGGAACCTTGTAAACCACTTTCGTCCGACGATGAAAATCGATCAGATGGAAAATGTGCAGTTGATTGATTGATGCCATAGTATTCATCAATGAGGCCTTCGTACGTAAGCTGAGTGGCCAATGCGCTCATTACGTCAACCGAACGATCCACAATAAACAGTTGATCTATTGCCCCCTTTCCCATTGCATTCGATGTGAGTTCTTCTTGCCCCATGATTTTCAGTAGATCCCACAATTTCTTTGCATCATTTCCTTTGCCGTTAATCTTTGGAATGCGACCATACAACTGTTGCAACGAAATCAGGGCCTTGGCCGATAGAAAAATAGCCGTTGGATCATCTTCGATGTATAACTCACTGTCAATTACAACGCAATATTAGTGATACACAAAGATACGGTTTCACGACTAAAACTACCAAATTCAAAGCGAATAAAAAAAAATTTGAATTACCGAAAGGTGTCTTTCAATTCCATCGAAAGTAAGTCATTATCGACGGGAAAGAAATCGCAATTGAATTCGCCAACATGTGAAAAACTACCATAAACGCCTTTGTTCTTCAATTGTGTTTCGCACAGTGTTGACACTCTGGGTAAAAAGTATAAAAATAATTCTTTACTTGAACCGCTTTTTTGCCTCTTATCGATGCTGTGCACATTTTCAGCGATATAATTCATCAGCTTCAAATTAGGTCTGGTGATAAAGATGACATTTCGAACGTCGACATCGGGCAAAGCGCCGGGTCGCAATGGTAGCATTTTCGTAACATTTCTTTCTTTGAGAAATGCATATTTTGTCACCAATCCAACCGGTCCAGACAATGAATCATCCCATACAATGGCCTATTGTCATAGCATAAAAATGGAATATCAAACGATGACTATAAAATTACAGCCGAAATCAAAACGCAATTACAAACCTTTGTTCCTTCGCATTTGTCAAGTATTTCTAATAATTCTTTGCTTGCCGCCTCTTGAAACAGTGAAATATTCACGCGAAATCCGTATAAATGTGGAAACATGCTTGAGTCATATCACTTTTAACAAATCCAATTGCGACTTATTTAGTTTTTCTTTATTTTTATAATTTATAGCTTTCGTCGTCTTTTGTGACTCCCCTTTTTTTTGTTATTTAATTGTGTCGTTCAAAATTGACATTTCTATTCTGTTTTTTTTTCTCTCTCTTTTTTTCGTAAGACTCAGCTGTCAAATTGATAATATGACAAATGCATTGAATGAGTCAGTGTGACATCCGAACACACACAAAATATATTGCCCGATGAATGGGATGGTGTCGGATGTCGGAATCTGTTAATGCGCAAGTCATTTTCACAGCTAACATTGTAATTGAATGCACACATTATTGGTAAATAAATTATAAAACAGAAATACACACCGCAAAATGAATAAGGTGTCTATGGTTTTCATATTAAATCAATTTTGTGAAAAATAAAGGAAATTCCAAGAGCAATTTAATGTAAAACATAATCGCATCGGGCACTTTGAAAATCATGCAACATTCACAGACAACTCAATCGCATTATCGTGTGTGACTTTCCATTTCCGAAATGTTCACCAATATATCGACAAATGGATGTATTTACGCTCATACCATTCAAACACTTAGCACGTACACATCAATGCACGCACACAGCGACACACACACACATATTTATCAAAGCCTTCCAACGAACGGAAAGTTGAGAGAGAGAAAAAAAGGTTTCACGAAAAAAAAGAAGATAGACACCGAGCAGTAGTGGAGACAGCTAAGTGAGGAAAAGAAAAAAAAAATAAACGAAATAAAAAGAATTTAATATATTTGCCGTGCAATCGACGAATGGAATAACCATATTTTCTTGGTTTTTATTGTGCGTTGCCATTCAGTTTATGTTCAATTAATCAAAAGTTTTAAAGAAAAGAATAATATCAAATACATAAATCGTGAAAATTTTGTTGTATGTTTTTTTCAATTTCAATTTTTTTTTTCGTTTTAAACAACATAGAAAATTATATTGGATATTGTGGTGATACATTTTTTTTATTTAAGTTAAAGTCAATAATATATTTCGGTCGTTCATTCGTACGTTGTTCGGAAATTTGTTTCTATATTTTTTTTGCTTCGTTTAAATGAAAATTTCGTGTTTGATGTGCGTATGTTTGTCATCCGGATTAGAATACAGCAAAATTAATCAAATCAGTTCAGTTTAAAACATCACAATTAGCATGATAATCGACTAGAAAAGGCAAGGCTTATTAAAATTGGTTTTGTTTACGAAATGAATGAAATAAAAAAAAACACACACAACAACAACAACGTATGTGTGGTTGGTTGGTAGTGATGGATATTGAATATGTTGTGGCTGGTGAAAATCTAAAGTTTGATTGTTTTAAAAGAACCAACATGGAAATGGAAACAAGATTGAATTTAATATATGTGGCAATGTGATTGAACGGAGAAATAAAAGGGTTTGACATCATAATAATACTGTGAAAAGAAGAGAGACACTGAAAAAAAACAGTAGAATGAAACAACATAAATGTCAATGAGAACGACACCACATCGGGCCAACTCCTATATTCACAAACATTCGATGTCTCTAATTGCTTTTGCGGCAGTTTTTACTCGCAACCATACAATTGATGTGATGTTTTCACTCTCTATCTTTCTCTCTCTCTCTCTTTCATCGTCTTCTCTTCAAAAATAAAAAAAATATATACAAATATCGATTCGAATTTTGAGAAAAAAAAACAAACCACTCATACAAATCGACATATATACAGTGATTGATGAAATTGTGTCGTGCAAACAGGAATAGAAAAAAAAATGAACCAAAAAAAAAACAACTCCAAATAATAATATTAGCACATCGTTGAAAAATGATTGTTGAGCGATTTTTGTTCCTCTAAATTTCATACATGAGGAGAAAGAGAGATGTGAGACAAATTGTTTTGTTAAATTCAACGCCCTTTACCTATGCCTTTGCCAATGTACTGACGGAATATCGTGTATATATACTTGTAAACTGTTCAATGTGAATTAAATCACATTTAAACGTCGCTTTATAAATATGATTGGTGGTATTTGTGTGGTACGGAGCGCGAGATCTATACGTGTGTTATGTATTTTATTGTGTGTATGTGCATGCTGAACGGCGAGCTCATTATTGAAAGTCATTTGTTGCAAATATTGTTTATTGTTGAAACTTTACAAAAACATCAATCAATTATGAAAAGAGTAGATGTTTAATTGCTGCTGAAACGACGGAATATCTCAATTAAAGTCTTTATGTTTCCGGATGGGGATCGGGAAAAACAAAACCGACCCAAATCAATACCGAGTTAATCCAAATATGTTTTTGGCTGCTTTTGTCAAGGCAAAACCTTTGAAGGGAAAAAAACATACGAAAACAGAAGAATAAGAAGAAGAAGGAACGTTGACTAGAGTATTCCAAGAAGTTAGCTTTGAATGGGCCCACATTTTCTTATCAAATGTGTTTGTGTACAAAATTCAAATGATGAGTGTGATGAGCAAAAAGATGAGTGTGCAGAGCTGATTGAGTGTGTGATATGTTGAGTAGGGAAATCCATAAAGATTGAATGTATGATAAAATAAAATCTCTTGCGGTAGTCGCCATCGCTCACAAAATAAACATTTTAATTATAGATTTTAGTTTGCTGCTTTGACTTTCGTCTTTTTCATGCAATAAAATCCATTTTGAAAAACTCAATCGACACACGGAGAGAGAGTGAGAGAGGATGATGCTATATGCACACTCGATTTTTTTCGTCTTCTTCTTTTTTTATTAAATTGCACGAGAAAAAAAAGTTGATGTTTTCATTTAGTAATTATGTTCTAGTTTTTGCTTGCTCGTGCTGTCTTGTTGATGTTAAATGCAAGTGGTGCGATTATGTGTTCATCTTTTTTTTTACTCTTCTCTCTCTCTGTCTCTATCTCAATTCTATCGCTCTGTATCTTTTCCATTATTCAGTGTGCTGCCAATATGTAATAACAAACGGCGAAACACAAATAAAACCATACACACACACATAGAGAGAGAGAGAGATACACACATGCTCGGTTTTAGTGCTAAACAGAGTGACTAACACAAATGCAACATGCTCAAAAACACACTGGAATAATAATTTGTATAGGCGAGCACCGACCGACTGTGAGCTTTGTATGGAATCGCCATTTTGAATGAAAGTTACCTAACACCGTAGTATTGGTGTGTGCATACAGCCTATACATATATTTTTGTCTGTGATTCAGAAACGATCTAAAATATTTGTATAATTAAACAGTGTGTTTTCGTTTCATTGGAACTAATATGAGAAAGAAGAAGTCAATTCACTGATGGTGTACTCTCTATTCAAATTGAATGAGTAAAATAAAATGCCACCAATGAAATTCTCGTGAAGCAAACCGAAGAAAATAAAATAGCGAATGCACATAAAATGCCGATTGTAAATAATTTTATTTTTACTGCAAAGAGGTCAAAATTGTTTGGATTTTGCATCAATTGATAGATGGATAGATAGATACAACTTTTAAGTGGAAAAGAAATCAAGAACATTTACATTTGATTGCTTTGGCTGATTTAGTCGGAAATATTTGAAGAAAAAAAAACCACCAAAGCAGCATTGTCGCCATATGGTCATCGTGCTGTTTAATTTTTTGACCGAACGATTCGTTGATGCGTGAAATCAACGATCGGTCTCAAAATGAATCTCTCTTTTTTTCTTATTCATTCACTTCATATCTCATTAATTTATTTCGATCGATTGTGGTTTTCTCAAGATCGACTGCTCAAATTCACAAAGTTTTTCGTTCAACCAAACGATTCAGAGGGCATATGACTGAGACTTTGTATTATGCATTCGTATTCGTGTGCCATATATGGCTTAATCGGATCTACAAAATCACAACCAATAACGATGATGTTATTATTGATGAATGAAGTGGCCCGTGTGCACTTTTCAAATGTGGCATTTATTTTTCAATTGAATGAAATACGTTTTTCGGCCGAAAAGTTTGGAAAAATCGATTTTGTTGTTTCATCAGCACGGGCTAAAACAATTGGTTCTACAATGTAATCAAATATTCCATTCAAGTTTTGTGATTATTCCATTCAAATATTTGACAGAATTCCATACGGGGGATAAAAGCGATGAAACACAGTTTGCGCGTGTGCACAAATCATCGTACCATACCGAGAAATGATAAGACGAATTTATTCATTATGTTATTTTTTGTTGGCACTTCGATATGCAATGTTTAAGAAAAACACAAAAAAAAATCACTGTTTCTTCTTCTTCTTTATTGTCTGGAGAATGTGTAGCGATTATTTTAATTAGGCAAATTATTAAGGAATTTGCCTTTTAATTCTTATCAAAATGAGCTCATTATAGACAAGCTAAATTCCATGGAATTTGTATAATCGAGTAAAACTCGCTCTCGTTTATATCGTTTGGTTCTTTATATAACCGCTTGGAGTTCATCTTTCAATAGCGCACAATTTCGGCTCATTTGAAAATCAATTTCGTTTCAAGATTTATCAAGGGTCTACGGTGGTTTACCTGAATGGTCATTTACATTGTCTGGCCCAATTGGAATGCTGTATAATTTGGCATCTGTGTTTGACACAATTGAGATCTTTAAAATTAGACTGGAGAAAATGTGTAACACAACGATAAATTGAACGACTCATGCAAACAAACAACAAAATATGCATTTTAATGTATGGCATTTGGAAGCCAACGAACCCAAGAAATAAAACGTTGATAAGGCATAATCGCTTCGTGTTCTTTTCAAAACAAAGTAAATTGATACGTTCAAAAATAAATATGAAACACACAGAGAGAGGGAGAGAGAAAGAAAGAGAGCGAAAGCGAGAGAGCAAAAGGGAGAGGCAGACTGAAAGTAGAAAAGAAAGGCAGAGAGAAAGAGATGGAGAAAGAACACACCAAAGAGAAATATGTCATTACGCGTGTTAGCTTCATTGAAATTTGCCGACTTTGTCTGCGGTGCATTTGCCGCGATTGGGTTTCTTGCATGTCTCTGTCTTGCTCTCATATCGTATTCAAGTCTCACCAGACGCTATTGACACTTTGTATGTTTTCATCGTTCCATATATAATTTTTCGTTTTACTGTTTCTGTTTCCCCGATTTCAATTCAATTACATTTTTATTCTGCATTACATTTGGTTACATTTGGTTACGGGTGTGTATGTCTGTGTTTGTGTATTCCGATCGATGTGCATGTCACTTGAACACCACCCGGCTCCCAATTTCCTATGTTACGTTTAATATTTTGGGCACGCGTTTTGCTTGTGTCTCACCCGCAACTACTCACGCACGCATGCTCCAATCTATCGCTTGAAACTTCTATCCGACACATTTGTATGGATTTAACAGTAATTGTTCTTCTGTTTATTTCGTTCCATACAAACAAACAAAAAAAAAAACAATTAAACATAAAGTGCGAGAAAGAGAGACATTGTTAATGATGATTAACAGGACTTTGTGAAAAAGTCAATCGATGCTATCATCAATTGGTATTTCTAACAACATTTCATTCGATAGCAAATCAATAAGTACTATAGAGGAAGAAAAAGCACAAAGTGCTAAAAACTAAATGGCAATTTGTGCGATGTGTGTGTGTGGCTTTATTCACTTATGCGGAATTGACGATCGATTGCGTTATATAGTAACCAGATATATTGTGTGTGTGGTGACATTTTCAATCATTAAATGCAAATGAGAAGTTTAGTTTAATTGCGTGCCTATAACTATGTAATAAAAGAAGGGAAAAAAGTAAAAGTAACGTGTTTACAAGCCACTATAAAATTCGCATTTGTTCTCTAGTTGCTCATAATAATTCCAATATTTATTCCTCGATTCGTATCAATTCGTGTTTGTTTATGTGACGATTTTCATGCTCGACAATCCAATATATAAATCCGTGTTTCGCACAATACGAACGGTTTCTGCGATTGCTCTTTTTTTCTATGTGCGTTAACACGAATATAAATAGATACTAATTGAAAACATTGATTTCATTGCGAATGATTGTGAGTTAAGAGTGTGAGAAAAAGAGAAAGAGATATAGGGAAAGAAAGTGTAAAAGAGGGAGAAAGAGCAGCCAAACGCCATGACTTTAAAAAAGAATTGATTCACACCGCACCGAAACCTTGATCGATATCACATATGTATGATTCAATCGCACGTTTGAAATGTGCTGTTTATTAAAAAATGTCTATCGCGCTTATCGTTACACTGAGACAGCAAATAACATTTGTGACGCATTCATCAATCATGCTCTTTAACCGAATAGTTACATTTTGCAATAATGAAACACCGGAGCGTATCAAATCGAACTCATTTGTTCGGCTAGTTTGTTTTAGTTGTACTTCTTTTTTTTCGTAAACAGATGTTAATGGATGCTGTTGTTATCAATCAAGACTACTGTTTACACCATACACAATTGACGACTGTTTTTACTCGTTGTCGATTATCAACAATTTTTTCCCACTGGAAAAGCGCTCATGCACAAAGCGACAAGTGATGTCGCCATCGTGATGATGGGTTCTATTAAATCTCACAACAAACAGTGTCATTTTCATTAAAGCTTAAATAGACACTCATTTATTTATTTGCAAGCAACAGCAATGTTGCATAAGTTCCGTGCGAAAAGAGATGACGACGACAAACAAAACAAAGGCCATGATTTTAAATTGAAAATAATGATTTATCTTTATTTTTCGATGTTCGCAAATTTTATCATGAAAATTGTGTTTTTTTTTTCTTAAAAAAAAACATTGAAATTGATTTTGTGATAAAGAAAATCAAATACTTGAGTCTCGTTTCAATGAGGTGTTCATGGTCGTTTTTAATGTGCTCAAAATCGGTTTATTTTCTGCATTTTCTGCTCGAATAAATGAATCCAATCATTCGGTCCAATAAATTTTATTATGGAGAATATGCAAATATGCAGTCGATGCGCATATTATCCATGGGTTTGGTTTTCACCCGATCTGAAATAATAATTCTTCAATGAAGAGCTTTTTACATCGTCTTACGTCTTTCTATTGGTGCTACAGTCTTTTTTTTAAATGTGCACCTTTACACACATTCGTTGAAGTAATTATGATGATGGTGATGATAAATTGGCTTATATTTCAAGCGCATACATCTTTTATTCCGGCGGCGATATCCGTGCCGCCACATTGAGCAACAAAGTATCGAAGAGAGCGTGACTAAGACTGCACATTTTAATTCCATTGAAAGCAAAATCATAATTTTGTTTTATTCATCCAACAAAATTGAAAGAAATGCTTTTATTTGACTTTGTGTGCAAATACACATTCAGTGTAAAGCAGCAATGGGACTCATAATTAAATTTATGATGTTGAGCACGTGAAATGCACTGCGGTTTTTGTTGTTGGTTTTTATTATTATTTCAAATGGAAAGCGAAAGTAAGCATATGAAATTGTAATGTGAAAAACCACGTCTAATCTAAAATTTGATGGATTGAAGGCCGTCACTACCACCGCCACACAAAAATCGAGCAACAAATTATCCAAATATTTTTGTTTTGTGTACCATTTTCGTAGAATTATTATTTTGTAATCGTTTAATTATTTTGATGTTTTTTTTCTCTTCTTCTTTCGATTTGCAGATGATGGAGGTCGTTCACTGCACTAGATACTGCAAACGCATTGCATCGAAATGTTAGGGTACAATTAAATAGCATAAAATCTTCACATTTCAATCCAACAACTATAATTACAATTATTTCATCTAAGTCAATAAATTGGCTACCGACAACCTATTTTAAAACAATAAAAAATACACACACTCACACATATAGTCGCAATTGTGACGCAATATTTTAACAAACCATAACAAAGAAATCAAATTAAACAGAAACGCTGGAAGCGACCGTGATTGTGTGTGTGATAAAACGGCGTTAAAGTGACGGACGATAAGAAATTTGTTGCCAAAATGCCATCGGCAGCAAGGCCGGGCAGTCTAAAAGATCCGGAAATTGCTGAATTATTTAATAAACATGATCCAGAAAAAATATTCGAAGATCTTCGTGAAATCGGTCACGGTTCATTTGGGGCTGTGTACTATGCACGATGTACGCTCACCAAGGAAATTGTTGCGATCAAGAAAATGTCGTATGTTGGACGACAAAGTATGGAAAAATGGCAAGATATTCTCAAAGAAATTCGATTTTTACGTCAATTAAGTCATCCAAATACGATCGAATACAAAGGATGCTATTTACGTGAGAATACCGCATGGCTGGTGATGGAATATTGTGTTGGTTCAGCATCTGATATTATTGAAGTGCATAAACGACCATTGCGCGAAGAAGAGATATCAGCAATCTGTGATGGTGTACTGCAAGGCTTGAGCTATTTACACAGTTTGGGCCGAATACATCGTGATATTAAAGCTGGCAATATTTTGCTTACCGAACAGGGTGTTGTTAAATTGGCCGATTTTGGAAGTGCAGCAATCAAGTGTCCGGCAAATAGCTTTGTGGGCACACCGTATTGGATGGCGCCCGAAGTGATTCTAGCCATGGACGAAGGTCAGTACGATGGCAAAGTCGATGTGTGGTCACTTGGTATTACATGCATCGAATTGGCCGAACGTAAACCACCATATTTCAATATGAATGCAATGGCCGCACTTTATCATATTGCACAAAATGATGCACCATCACTTCAGTCACTAGATTGGTCGGAAACATTTCGAAGTTTTGTCACTGAATGCCTCAATAAAAATCCACTCAGTCGGCCCACATCCTATAAACTGCTATCGCATCCGATTGTTAAGAAGCAACGAACGACAAACGTATTGGTTGAATTGATTGCCCGAACGAAGGCGGCCGTACGTGAATTGGACAATTTGAACTATCGCAAAATGAAGAAAATTCTAATGGTCGACTCATGCGAAACGGAGAGTACAATTGGCGATTCGGAGGAAACAAATGACGAACAAACGGGCGGTGACAGCAGCAAAAGCAACAGCATTACGTCGGAACATTCGATTCAATCGGTTGGCATTTCGGCAAATAGTAGCCAGGTAGGATTTTTTTTATAATAATTATTTTGGTTTCTTTTTTTTAATTGATTTATTTTTAAAATATTGTTTGTTTTTGCAAAACTTTCAGAGTTCGTCAAGCAATTCAATTCCACAAAATCAACATCATGGCGGTGCGATTTCACGGGCATCATCACGCCACCGTAATCCAATGCCACCGCCAATCAATGCAAATATGAATAATAATTTGCCACCGCAATTGTCACAACATCAATACCATCAATTACAGCCAAATCTATCATCATCTTCAATTAATCAAATGAATATAATGCCTAATTTTGCTGGATCTAGTTCAAGTCATTATGTAAATCATTTGCCACAACAGGCCATGGTGAATGCGGTTTCCGAGCATGGTGCCAACAATTTTGCAACCATACGAACGACCAGCATCGTTACAAAACAACAAAAAGAGCACATGCAAGAGGAAATGCATGAGCAAATGTCCGGCTACAAGAGAATGCGACGAGAACACCAGGCTGCTCTCGTTAAGCTCGAAGAGAGATGCAAAGTCGAAATGGAAAATCATAAAACCGCCTTAGACAAAGAGTATGATATGATATTGCATAATTTTACCAGAGAATTGGATCGATTATCGGTAAGTTTACACAAATGCCGACAACCTGTGTAGACTTTGCACACATTTTAATATGATTTTTTTTTCGGTTTTATCTCACAGGTTAAGCATCAACAAGAACTAGAAAAACGGGTGAAACAACACAATGCTGCCGAAAAGAAATTGTTCAAAGAGATTTCATTGAAACAGGAAGGCGATCGCAAGAATTGGGAATTGAATAAGAAACGCGAATACAAAGCGAACAAAGAGCGATGGAAACGTGAATTATCGATGGACGATTCGACGCCAAAACGACAACGAGATGCAACATTGCAATCGCAAAAGGATAATCTAAAGCAGGCTGAAGCACAAGAAGAGACTCGGCTACTCAAAGGTCAAAAGGGCTACATTGAATTGGAGATGCGAAAATTCAAACGACGAAAAATGCTCATCTTTCATGAGCTAGAAAATCAATTATTGCACGATGTAAGTTGCGTCGCAATCGAAACACAAAATCGTCACACGGAGAATTCATTTTAATTATTCAATCGTTTTTATTATGCAGGAATTGAGCAAAAAACAACAACAACTGGAGCAGGCACATGAGATGTTGTTAAAACATCATGAAAAAACACAAGAACTAGAATATCGCCAACAAAAGAGTGTACATAATTTGCGTGAAGAACAAATAGCCAAACAGCATGCAACTGAATTGCAAAATCAACGAGATTATACAGAACGTGCCGAAAAGGAATTATTACGCAAGCATGCGGCTGAAGTGAAACAACAGCCCAAGAGTTTAAAGGTACATCATTTCTTCTGTTTCTTTTTGCTTTGATTTCGATTCTTAATTTGGATGGAAAACTAATGTTGCAATGCATTTTTGTTTTGCAGCAAAAAGAGCTACAGATCCGAAAACAGTTCCGTGAAACGTGCAAAACTCAAACTAGACAATATAAGGCATTGAAATCGCAAATATTGCACACAACACCGAAAGAAGAACAAAAAGCTGTGATAAAGAAATTGAAAGAAGAACAACATCGGAAATTAACTCTATTGGGTGAACAGGTAATGTACACAATATATTCGTGATCAAGAGACCATTTTTTTCATTGTGTGAATTGTGTGAATATGAATAATAAAACTCTCCTTTTGATTTAACAGTATGAACAAACCATAGCCGATATGCTGCAAAAGCAAAGCTTACGATTGGATGAAAGTCAAGAGATCGAGTGTCAAACATTGAAGGAACGATTGCAATACGAATTAGAGATTTTGATGGCATATCAAAGTAAAAATCGTATGCAAGCGCAGTCACAACGTGATCGCGAGCGAAAAGAACTTGAAGACAGAGTCAGTGTTCGACGTTCATTACTTGAGAATAAGGTAAGTAATGAAAAATGCAGTTTAAGCTCTTCTTATTCCACGACATTCTCAAATTAAATTTCATTTCTAGATGGACGCTGAATTGCAACAATTCAATAACGAACGTGCTGAACGAATAAGACAATTGAATGAGAAGCACGAGAAAGAGATGGAAACATTCGATGACGAGTCAACTCGATTGGGTTTCAGGTAGATACTTAAAAAAAATACTGAAAAACATTGAAAATTCCCGGAGTACTTTAAATAAAATTCTTGTTTTATGTTACAGTTCATTGTCTTTGGCCGAATCATCAAAAGAATGTTATCCAGATGAGGAGGGAAGTTTATCTGGATCGATGATTAGCCTAGCGCATAGCAATAGTTCAACAAGTTTTCCATATATAGCAAACGAAAGCCAGAAATAGTATTGATTTGAGAGTGAATTGCATTAATTTAAATCAATAACAACCGAAAATGAAAATCAAAGAAAATACCCGAAAACAAAAATCAACACTCATTTTAAGCTTCACACACGCATACACTCACAAAACTACCTATTCACCACGTCCTCTCCTACAATACACATTCATATAGTGTCACCTCATAGAGAAAATTATAATCTGTTAACTTGTACAGTAAAAGAAAAACAAACAAACTATTCCTAATTTATTTATAAAAATTCAACAATTAGTTCAAAAGTATCAAATCAAAACTTTGACAAAAAAGACCATACTGTCTTGAATTGAGAAGAACAATTTTAATCTATGCAAATAGATCATAGTATAGAATAATGGATATAAACGAACAAAACAAAAGCAAACAACAACCAAAAAAGTTAAAATTCATTCAAATGGAAACAAACAAAAGTACTGGATTTTAAGACGAGTGTTTAATACTCTTTGACGCATCTTTCACACACTATGTGTAGTAGTTTTTCGGACCATTTTATGGTTTGAACATTATAAATTTCGCAAAAACGGAAAACTCGACGCATAAATATTATTATTTTTTTGTAGTATTGAGAAGATCTGATTCAATTAATATGACACAAAATTCATGTCATTTGTTTCCTGGTGAAAGAAGATAGAGAGAGAGAGAGAGAGAGGGTGAGACGAGAAATCTACAGCTGCATCATAAGAAAAGAAAAATACATGACAGCAACAAGTGATTTCCATTCTCATTCATTTGCAATCGATTGAATTGCCAATTTTGAGATTAAATATATATAAATATGAAAATGTTTTTCGTGATGGTTAATGTTACCACTATATAATTAATTTTACAAATTTTGTAAAATTTTTAATTAAAATGTTCACGTCAGAAAATACATTTCCAATAACAACAAGAAGAAAAAAAAATCAATTGAATTCCCTACAAAAATTGAACAAATGATTTCATTCGACATTCGTGGTTGTTTCATCGATTCCAAAATATTTTATTTCTCGCTCATTCTCGTTACTTATTTTTTATGTTGTTTTGTGTTTAACTTCAAGAAATTATAGCAAATCTTGTAAAGTAAAGAAAAAATTGTGTTAAATTCGTTTTGCTCATTTCATTTTGTTGTCCCATGTAAAAGAATTGTAAAACCATTCACATGAAAATTATTCACACAAAAAAAAATCAAATTATTTTTCCATTTCGATATTATACTAAAAAGAAACAGCCTCACCTTAGCTGATATTCAATACAAATTATGCACTCGTGAGAGGATTTTTCTTTCATCTTCGTTTTGTGAGTAGGACGTTCGCATTGCGAACATTTGTGCCGAACATGAAAGACGTCTTTAATTATTTAAACAAAAAATTACACTAAAATATTCAACATACGTTTAAGGACATCTGTTTTATAAGTAGAATTGTGACAAAGAAATTGAAACTTACTTAAATGTGTACACTATCGACTAGAAATGAACAACCCGATCGACAAATTTCGTGCCCGTATTTTCACTTTGCGAATTAAACAAATAAAACAGAAAATACACCCACACAGCTGATAATCTACAAATAAGCGTCAATATGAACCATTCATCAATGTATGAACTGAATGAAAATAAAAAAAAAATAAAATAAAATAAAAACAAACAACAACTAGATACAAATAAAGAAAGAATATGAACCGTATGATGTATTAATTTAATTGATATGAAATGAAATATAGGATTATTGTGTTTTTTGAGAGAATTGAAAATAAATGAAAACTGTAGAAAAAAAGGAACATTTGACATTGACTATATTCTATTCATAAAATACCATAAATAGAAATTCAATGAATTTTTTTGTCTACCTTACAAAAAAAGGATAAAAACAAAGGTCGTTTTTGACGATTAGAGAGAAGCTAGAAATTGTAGCTATATTGTTCATTTTTCTTTGTGAAAAGTTCTTGTAAAAACTAATTTTAAACGCTTTTTTCTAATTTGGAATAATTTCTTGTACCTTTTTTAATTAATGTTCTCTTTCTCTTTCGCCCAGTATAGATATATTGAATTTGAATCGCAAAATTTAACACCGATTCTGATTAAATTTCAGTTCTGACACAGACAATTGAATATAAGGCAATACAAGAAATTTAAAAAAAAGAACACACACATAAACACGTTTTAAGCGAAAGCGATAGATTTTTACAGTAACCAAAACTCAATTAACAAAGCTATAACAAATTTATTATAATTGCAAACAATGGACAAATATGAATGAATAACAAAAATAAAAAAAACAACCAGAAAAATCATTGCAAATATTAAATGAGAATTGGTTTTCTTTTGATTTATTTCTGCATCCTTTTTATTCCCATAGCCCTTTAAGTTAAAAACATGGAAAGGATTTTTATACTTTTTCGAACTGTTTTCCTCTTCTTCGCCAGTCTTTTTCCTATCAAATCGGACACATAATAAAAAAAAATCAAACACCGACCATTTCTAATTCAATTCTTTATTTATAATTCATTTTTCATTCTCCAGAGTGTTAAAATGATATTGATGGTTTGTGTAAAATAAGGATTGGGTTCTTTAAGCAAAATAATATCAACCATCAAAATGGTTTTCTTTTTTCTTTTAGAAAATGTTTCATCGAAACAAAATATGTGTTCGTTATTAGATAGATTTTTTTTTTCTATTCGTATCGAAATAAAAATGAATGCGCTTCAATTAGACACTTGGTGTTCCAAGCGACGAAAGTGACCCTATAGCCGGCATATTTCTCGGATCTGTCATAAATTTTTCCAACAATTTCTGATCAAGTTTCTCATAATCTTTGCCCAACCGCGTGAAGTCGGTAATGCGCCAAATAATCGAACTCAACTCGGCAATACCCGTATCGATTTGAATTGTCAAAATGCGATTGATCCATTCGGTGGTTAGTTTGAAATTTTCTTGCTTGGTAATTGAGTCCAAAACTACGATGAACGGTTTAATGTTGTTGTTGCGCGGATTCAATACCAATTTTATGATTTCTTTCGATGCACGAATCGAACGTTGGTTTATCGCGCCAACAACTTCGATTAGAGCGCCGGCAAATGTTTTGCCCGTTTTCATGAATCCATCAACGATGGCAATGAAATGGAAATGGACTTTGCGCATATTACAATCGTTGACCATTTTTTTCAATTTATCTGTCAAGCCATGTTGTCCAAAGTAATCGCAAAAATCAACGAAATAAAAATCGAACAATTTTTGACATCGGCACATAAACTCATCGTACAGGTCAATGACTCTTTTTCGGTCCATTTTATTTATGCAGGAACGGAAGTAGTTGTGATCGGGCAATTGATGATTCAATTGGCATTCGTGCGGCAGTAGACAGGCCTCATTCATGTTAAGATGGCACGTTCGCTCAAATATACGATGAAAAATGCGATCATATCGCTGTGAAGTTGTTGCAAACGATGGCATTTCAAATGCACACAAACTTTTTTGCTCCAATTCTTTTCGCATGAATGTTGGCAAATCTGGATGTGGTTGTTGTACATTTATTTGTGCTTGGGTGGATGCCATGTTGCGGTGAGCATTTGAAAATGGTGTTGTGCCCGTTGCTCGTTGCGTTGGCGGCGTATCATTGATTGGACCGTCTGTGCTGTTATTTATGATAAAACCAGTTTTTTGACCATTTAATGGTGTGAACGGTTTTCCACTGATTCGACTACCCAAACGATCTTTCACCGAAAGGCGTTGTGGTTGTACATTGTTTGGTGCTTGTGATGATGCTTCGACATTCTTTTCAACTGGTACACTATTGGCTGGTCCAGGGATATTTTGTACAGTGCTTATGGCCATTCTTGGATCACGACTTACATTTTCTGCACCACTGATTGTTTTGTTTGTAATCACTCGTGCTGGGATCTTGAAGATCGCTTTTGGACCAATCGTTGCATTCGGAGCAGCCGGTTGTTCCAATATCTTATCCGATCTGTTGTTAATCGTAACTGTTACATTTTTCAGCAAATTGTTATGTATGGTTACGATTGGCTTCAACGGTGGAGGTTGCTGCTGTACTGAAACCGGCTCCTTCTGTACTGGCGATAGCTGACTTTGTACCGGTGACTCTAATGGCTTTTCTTTTCCTTTGGTTTTTCTTTCCGGTCGTTTCCAGAGTGGCATTGCCATTTTGTTCGTTTCCTTCGATATTATAGTGGAACTGTGAACGAAAAACGAAAAATAATCTTGGATTTGTGAAATAGAGCAAAACAAACAAATTCTACCTCGTAGAAGATTTTTCGACTTCTACATCGAACAATAAATCATCTAAATCGGGTTCATTGATATCGAGAATTTCATCGAAGTCAGCATTTTCTTGATTGTTGCCAATATTATCTGTACGTTCATCCATTGCTTCATCTTCTGAATGTACATCATTCGATTGTGATGCGGTGGATTTTGATTGAATTGGTTCGGTATCATTTTCAATGGAGTTAGTAGCTGTAATCGCTTCGATGTCAGCTTCGATTTCAGCTTCGATGTCACCTTCGATTTCAGCTTCGAGATCAGTTGTACTTGGAATTTCCAATTCCATCTCGATTTCACATTCAGAATTGACCGATTCCTCTGGAATGTCTTGTTCGCTATGTGCATTGTCATCGTTCTAAATATTTAAAAAAATATATATATTCGACCCAACAAGATCAAATTGAACCGAAAGTGTGGTTAGGTTACCTGTACAAATGATTCAACTTGCAGTTGTGTGTTCGTTTCATTGGACCCATTCGAAGTTTTTTCGACATCGTCATTTTCCTCCTCAGATAAAACAATAGTTTTATTCGGTTTCTTTCTTTTGACTTGATTGATGCATTCGTTATCAGAATCGAACGATAACTTTCGCTTTGGTGTTAAATCAAGCTCAATGTCGTCATCCTGTAATCACGATTAAAATAAAGTGATATCAACAGTCAAAAAACAGATGAGAAAAATAATGTAAAAATGTAGTTGTCAATAATGGATTCATTACTTACCGAAATAACGATATCTTGTTCATTTTCGGTCATTTTACAAGTTTTATCCACGTGTTTTTTCGTGTCGTCCAAATTACCGTTTGATATGGTTCTTACGCTAGCCGCTCGTAACCGTTTTGGTTGACAGCTTGCTTTTGATTGTGAAGGTGTCGACACCTTTTTCTCCAACTTCACTTGTGAACGCAGTTTCGAACGCAGTGTGAACGGTGGGCAAATTTCTTCAAAAACGTTGTCATCGTCATTATATGTTTGAAGTTTCGGTGTTTTTCGAACTGTTTGTGAGGCATTTTTTTTGCCTCGTTTTCGCTTGGGTGGCATGCTTAGTTTTTTTTTGTTTTCTCTTAATTAATATACACTTTTATCATGCAATTCAAAACCAGTAAAGTTCCAAGAACTAAAAAAAATATATGATGCTATTATTATACAGGGGAAAAAAATCTAACGATGCAAACAAAACACGCGTTTAATCATCGAAGTGTACGTCGACAGAAAGAAAGATGCGACGCTAGGAAAAAATCGTTTTGTGCTGATTTGTTGTTTTTTTTTTTTTTTTTTATTTATCCCCCTCTTCTTTTACAAAATATTGTATTCGCTTGCAATGCACAAACACAAAAACAAACAAACACCGCACCGAAGTGGTAACGAAATCGTTTTTATTGGCTTAGTATTGGTTGTACATTTGATCAGACTACAGAGCTTATATTTGTATACATACAATAAGTGTTTGTCATTTTTGTATTGTTTGCGTTTTGATTGGCGTATCGTTCTTCCATCCACCGGCTCTGTTACGCTTTCTTTGTTTTGTTTCGTTCGCACAGTGATGACATCGATGTGAAGTACAGACATTTGAATACGATGCAAATTTTGTCGAATTTCGGTAAGAACGTTCGATGCTCATAATGTGCATTTCTCCGAATCAATTTACCGATACCCTGGTATATTTCTAATGACGATAATACGGCACGTTGACACTCCGATGGCAATAAATTGATTGAGCCCATCGCTTCATTTGCCAAATTATCGGCAATATCAAGCATTTTTTCCGCATATTTTTTCAATTGAACATTCGGTATTTTCTTTGGATTTCGTTCGTTTACCAAACAATTTCGTTCATCATTTTCAAAATATGTACTTGGGACATAACAACGACCTATAAAAAAATTCACATTATTATTTAATCGAATCGACAAAAATCATTGGGAATCGGTGTTTATTTTTAATCTTACCAAGTGTTTCACTGTCCACTATGATATCACGACTTATGTTGCAAATTTGCAGGACCTAATTTCGTTTAAAAAAATTGCATTGATTGAGATACAAAAAAATAAATAAAAATAAAAATAAAAACACACCAAGCCCATTTTTCGTGCATTTTCAAGCATTGGTCCTATTGTGTCGGGCCATTTATAGCCTTTATGGCAAAATACAAATGTACATAATGTTGCAACACTGCTGGCAACATATTTCGAGTATTCAATCAAATCGTTTTCATGGAGCACAGGTCGTCCATCGATGTCCCATTTATAACCTTCGACCAATTCATAGAATGGCTCCTGTCATGGCATAAACTCAATTAGACAATGCAATGCATAAAACATACACAAGATAAGTACTCACGCTGGGCATGTAGTAGGAAATGCGAGCGATTGCACGAAACGATGATAGCTGCTCTTTGGTCAAAGTCTCCTCGAAATATTTCCAGTCGATCTTTGGACTTGAACCGTTCCTCTCCCAGCAATATTCCGATTTGATAGTACGATTGGAGAAAAGTTGATCTAAAAATTCCACAATTACACGAATTCGTTCCTTTTTCAATTCAATCGAGTGCTCATTATCAACCATATCGTCTGTTACTCGACAAAATGCATACAATATCGTTAGATCTTGCTTAATATCTGAAAATATATGGAAAATATTTTGTTATTCGTTTAAATCTCATCGATGAATTTATATGTGAGATGTGAATGAATTACCATTTGGAAAAAAATTAGCTGCCATACTAAATGATTTCGATGCTTTGTCGAGTACAACGATGCATGTTTCCAAATCGGTGATGGCTGTCGGATCAAATTTGTATTCATCGCACACTGACCTTTCGATGATCATTTTAAGGTAGCCGAAAAATCGCTGTAGCCCGCTAACATTCGAACCAATTGGAAATGGTTCTTCAAAGTATGTATCGACGACTGCTTTGGATTTGTCGAATGCATGCGAACCCAAAGCGACGATCATATTTGAAAAGAAGAAAAATAAAATCTCTTCAAGTGGTAAATCTTCGATGGGGAAAATTTCTAAACTAGTCGCTTCGTTGATATGCCATACTCTTGCACGAAGTGCAATCAAATCGACATAGCATAAATATATTGATGGCACAAGAATGCTTATCAACGTTGCTTTGTACCGTTTCACAATGTACGGTCCACTCATGTACCATAGCAATGTAACCACAACAAATACCCAGCAGGTCATGCAGCCCAGGTAAAACGGTTTGGTTGCCGGTATTGCATGCCGATATCCAGCGACTATGAATACCAGTGAAATTGCGATCACTCCGTAACGTATTAAATGGAATTTTGGACGATTGTAATTTTTCAAATGTAACGAATGCAACGTCCAGCGTGAACACAGGCTGGTCCATAATGTTGTATGGATTGTTTGTATAACAAAGAAAAGATACTCTTCAATCGGTACATAGCCAATGGTGCCGATAACAGCGTCTTTTCGATACCACCAAGCTTTATTATAAATTATATAATTATCCCAAGGAGTCGTATAAAGTACAGCCATTACACATAATACCATCATTTTTATCTTATCAAAGCTACCGATTAATGGGCGCATCAAAAGATACAGCAATATTGTAGGCGGCAACGTATAGTAAATATGCACTTGAAGATAGGTCAACATCTTGTATGTATTGCAATTTAAACGTTAATTAAACTCTGAAATAGACAACATATTTTGCGGCTTAAAGATTATATGAATTCAGACGAGAAAAAAAAAATTATATAATTAAAATGGTGATTGTAAACACATTTAATTTTCACTGGTCAACACAACCTTAGAATAATAAATAATAATTCTGATAATACGGTCTACGCAACGTACATGAACAAATTCTAGAGCAATCTTATTATTTCTAGCGATAGAAGAATGGAAAATTTACCAAAAACTATAAAAAACGACCTTTGAATGAAAATGAGTAAAAAAGGCACATTGAATTTAAGGTTTCAGTATTAAGAGATTGCAAATACGATTATTGAACTTGAGCAATTTCGTCTTATGTGGATCGAATTACGTTCGACCGTTGAAAATCGGCACGCACTCGCTTTTTCACAATACACGAATTTTGGTCACGAATAATTTTTTTTAAATCTCCGGACTCGCACACCCAATTCTTCCAGCTGAACAATGATCAATGATTATTATTGATCATTAGCAATGAAATCCGAACAAATACTTCATTTAATCTCAGACGATTGGAAATAGAATGAAAAAAAAAACAACAAACAAATAGTATTTTGATAACAAATGCCAATATCAAATGGAATGAACATTAAAATTTAATTGCAACGATTTCATTGACATCATTTCTACAATTTTCCACAGACTGATGTGCCATAGGCAAATTCATCTTCTTAAATAACCGTATTTATCTCACTTTTTCCACATTAACATTGTGTACTATTATGTTCTTTGAATAAATTACGGAAATTATCAAAAGAGCATTTTCTGTTCCACTGATAACACATTCATAATTATATAGATGAATCGGTTTGAGGTCATGTCCTCTTCAAATACAATTTTAATACATTCGTTCAAAGTTGAATAGATTAAGAGCAAAAAATTGCACGCATAAACAGACACAATTATACAATATAGATATAAATAGAATTGGAAAACATAATAAATATTTTACTTGTTATCTGCTAAAAATGTCATTAAACTAGTCATTGTACAATCAATGAGAACGACACTGTGTGTGATGTATGGTGTGATATAGATAATTGTGTATTGTGTCGTATCAGGTAAATAATTTACTGTTAGCATTTTTTGTGCGTCAGTTCCTGTCTGACATGCAGTCCATATCTGACGCGTGTGTGTGTGTAGTTCATATCGGTAATTTCATAAAGTTCATAAAAAATATCAGTCGGAGCAGCATGTTTAACTAGAAACAAACATCAAACCATAGATTTTGACATATACCATTGAATTACAAAAACGACATTTGGCTTCTTTTTAAACACTAGCGTTCATTGTAGAGCTTCACATTAGTTGTCATACGCTTGTCGTGAAAGTATCAAATTTTTCTTCGTTTGACAGTTGTGTTCACTGTATAAATATTCTCTCCAATTTTCTTTCTTTTGTGATTCGAAGCTCATTAAGTATGTCGTCGAAACGTAAGTCAGTCATAATTATTGGTTCTGGAGCTGGCGGTACTTCGTTGGCAGCTCGTTTAGCACATCAAGGATTTGATGTTACGGTGTACGAAAAGAATTCATTTTCGGGCGGACGATTATCGTTAATTCATAAAAATGGTCATCGTTTCGATCAGGGTCCGTCATTGTATTTGATGCCAAAAATATTCGAAGAAACATTCAGCGATCTTGGGGAGAAAATCTCTGATCATTTGGATTTGTTAAAATGTAAATCGAATTATATGGTACATTTCCATGACGGCGACAAGTTTGAATTGACGTGTGACTTGGCGCAACTTTTTGATCAATTGAAAAAACATGAAGGCAACGACGAACAAACATTAATTAGATTTATGGATTTTCTCAAAGAGACGCACATTCATTACGAAAACAGCATATCGATGGCACTCAGAGAAAATTACGCTAATTGGTACGATGAATTTCAACTCAAACACATTCCGCTACTCAATAAACTACATCTATGGGACAATGTTTACAATCGCACAAAGAAATTCTTTCTCAGTGAAAAAATGCGAAAAGCATTCACCTTCCAGACAATGTACATCGGAATGTCACCATATGATGCACCAGCTCCATATAATCTATTGCAATACACTGAAATTGCCGAAGGTATTTTTTTTTCTTATTGGATGTTTTTCTTTTGGTTTTTATTTAAATTCTTTTTGAAGGAATTTGGTATCCAAGAGGAGGTTTTCATCAGGTTGTTGAACAATTGGAAAAAATTGCAACGAAAAAATTTGACGCCAAATTTGTGTACAACACTGGCATCGAAAAAATCATTGTCGACGACAATCAAGTGGCTAAAGGTGTTCGCCTTGAAAGTGGAGATGAAAAATACGCCGATATCGTTGTGTGCAATGCAGGTAATCAAACGATACTTTTAGATATAGACTCTTATCACTTGATAATTCAATGATTATTTGTTTATTCATTTAATTTCAAACGATCATTTTATTTTTAAACATTTCATTGATAATCTTTGACTTCATCGTCAATGTATTTCATTCAATTCAATCAGATTTGGTATATGCGTACAACAAACTATTGCCCACGACTCCGTATGGAATTCGTTTGGGTGAAAAAGGTCAATTTACTTCGTCATCAATTTCATTCTATTGGGGACTATCGCGCAAAGTTCCTGAACTGGACGTACACAACATATTCTTAGCCGAACAATATCAATCAAGTTTTGATGATATTTTCAAGCGTAACCTACTGCCAGAGGATCCATCATTCTACGTATGTTTCACTAATTTTTAATACACTGAATAAGAGTAATAAGAAAAATCTTTATCTTTTTAAATAAAGGTCAACGTTCCATCACGTATCGATCCATCAGGTACATTAATTAAAACTCATATTTTTACATCAAAGCAAAAAATCATCTGCCATTCGCAGTGTGATTAGCTTTCTGCGACGATATAGAATAGATTTTTTGTTTTCTTTTTATCTGTTGGTGTATTATAGTAATGATATATTTTTCAATGTTATCTTTACAGCCGCACCTGAAGGCAAAGAAACAGTTGTAGTGTTATTGCCAATCAGTCATATCGCTCCAAACAATGAAAATCGCATCGATGAAATGACTGCAATCGCACGCTCCAAAGTCATCAAAACAATTGAAGCCCGCTTGAAGATAAACAATTTCGAAGAGCTCATCGAAACGGAAGAAATAAATGATCCGCGATCGTGGCAAAGTAAATTCAATTTGTGGAAAGGATCCATTCTAGGTCTCTCGCACAACATCACTCAAGTACTTCATTTCCGGCCAAAAACACGAAGCCAACTGTTCAAAAATCTATACTTTGTTGGCGCATCAGCGCATCCAGGTAAAATGAACAATCTGGAAAGCAAAACGTAATGAAAAATCATATATGTCTTTATTTTCTCCTCTTAAGGTACTGGCGTGCCCATTGTGTTATGCGGCGCTAAATTGGTCGAAACTCAGATTATGGAAGATTTTGGTATGATTGAACGCATTGATAACAGAGCCAAGATTTTTACGCAGTATTTCATTTTTGTTTTGTTCCTTATCGCTATCGGTTATCTGTTTTCACTCATTTTTTAAATTTTTTTTTGTTTGAAACACTTTTATTTTAATTGAAAATTGATTTTCTTTTCTTGTAACAAATAATGCTTTTTTCTCTATACATCAAATAAATGTCTATATTGAATCAGAACAAAAATTCAAATGTTTAAATGCTTCATTTTAATCATCAGTTTCTTTTAATGATAAGGTGATTTTCACATTGATCTACGATAAAGGTTAATTACGATAAAGTGAAAATCATGGATATTAAATGTTTGTGTTTTTTTCCATTATTTTCGAGATTTGCACAGAATTGAGAAAGTACTTTTTTCACACCGAATTTGAATATTTTGTGCAATGAATTTGGATTAATATTATATAATTGATTTTTTTCCAAATATTTATCATCGTTTTTTCAAGTCAGTGTGCTGCCTCTAATATATAGATTATAGATGTTTGTGGAGAAAAAACAACTGCAATGTTGCAATGCTCCACTGTAGTTCTTGCAGCATTTATTCTCAATTTCATTCAAACGTAAACAAATCATAGAAAAGAGGTGTTTGGTGATTGAACATATTTATTGGGTTGGCGAGAAATCAGTTGGTCGTAAGATGCGAGTGTGCATTTCTCTATTTAAAAAAAATTCAGCGATTTAAATTTGATCATTGGTTTTACATGAAAAAATGTAAAATTTTCACCTTATAAGTGGTACAGTGTAAGCCACACACTCATCCCAGCCAGGTGCTCGCCAAGCAGCCTCACGGCTTTCTTTACGATCCTGAAATGATTTATAGCCTAAAATAGATACACCAGAAGGAAAACAAATGATTATCATCTTTTTTTGTTTAAAAATTCATTTGATTCAATTAAAGTTATCCGAAAAACTTACACCAAATGTGATGAACATTGTAAAGACGTCCGATTTGCGAGAAAAAACCGGCGAATGGCACATCGCCAGCTTGACGATATTGGATACCTCTGGCCCAATTGTTACCTAAAACATATGAATGCAATGAATAAAGTCGCGAGATTGAAATCGTGTCAAAGTATACCCCATTCGATCATGGTCCCTGGTTTTAAGCGATATGAACGCATTTCATAAATATGAGACGGATCACGTAATTTAATTTGTGGCCAGTAGCTGAACTGAAGCATATATTGTAAATGACGCGAACGCATCAATACTCCACGTTCTTTTTCAAGCGATTGATAATCCTACAAGAATAACAAATTCAATTTTTAAATACATTTAATTTGTATTCGCTTTGATTTTCTATACAGTAAAGGTCAATGTTTACTTTATCATTTTCTAAAATGCGATGAGCTGCATCAATTTTCTCAAAGCCACCCGTATATTTCCACAAATGCAAACACTGATCCATATCGCCGACATGGACAGTCCATGAACCAATCTAAACATTGAAAGGTAAAGAACATCAACAAACTTTCATTATTATCCAATACAAATGAACAAATTTGCATACCAAATCGGATGAAATTTCATCTTTTTTCGAGTGAATCAATGCGGTTGTCTTTTTGCTGTAATTCAAAGAATAAATTTAATTGAAGTCATCCGACTAAGGTTGTCGAATTTCGTTTCTCTCTCGTATTTTATCTTTTCAATGCCATAATCTTGGATATTTAATTGCATATTTTGAAATTTTTGTGGATTTTCACTTCGAAAAGTCCAATTATGGATTGTAGCATTGGAAAGAGAAACGACTGAATTACTTACTAATTTTCCAAATATTTGGTTTTGGAATCGGGTCGTACATTATGCGTATGAAGTGCATAAATGACCTCTTTGTCGCTCAACATCCGACTGTGAGATTCTTTGGTTGGTTCAATTTTACGAACCAATAATTTGCTCAGCCACGAATCATCCTTTGACAAGGCCGATGACGTTGACAACGTTCTGAAATTATTCGAAAAGAAATAATAAAAAAAAAAAATTCACACTGGCGGCTAGACTAACTAAAATTAGCATTCATCAATTTTACCAATCAAATGTAATCATTAAATTTATAATCTCAACACAAAAAAAATTACCCCACACAAAAATACTATCAACTGTTATCATTTCAATTTGTTTTTCTATTCAAAGCGGCAAGAATAAGTCAAAAGTGAAATTATTATCAGCTGAGAATATTTTTGTTGGTCAAGTGAATAGTTGTTGTTGTTGTTTTTCCGATGACGACAAATACAAAACAAAAATAGTCAAACAAATAAACAAAAAACACTTCGGCACAAAAATAAACTATGGAAAAAATCAAATTTGAAGTGGAAATTGCGTACAATATAAATTTAATTGAATTTTATTCACTTACCGGTATGGTGATGAAGTTGTCGTCATCACCAATTTTGGCAATGTTTTCAATTTATTCCAAGCCGACATATTCACAAAGATATTCTTTTTTCACCCTTTCTTTCCCTGAATTAAAAAAAAACAGCAAACAATAATATTAATCAGAAATGCCGAAAATGATTAGGATAAAGGCGTGTATATTTGCCTCACTTTTTTGATTGTATCAAATTTTTATATAATACGTGCTTGTGTATCGAAATGAAGGTTATTTTTATTAGGAGCGACAAGAGAATAACAAACAAATGATGAGAACACCAATTTCTATTAGTGGCTCTGTTTGACGACTTTACTGGATCTCATATTCTCTGATAACAGAATAAAAGTTGATTATTTTTGTATTGAGCATTTGACGTTTCACGTCTACGCATTATATTAGATTGGTGTGTCTGTGAAAATGAGCGTATGGATGTGTTGGTGCGTTGACAGTTCATGGTAGCCATACGTCGTTCCGACAAACGTCAAAGTCGGTAGCATTCTATGGTAGCCCCTTCAAATACAACATAGATTTGATGCATAAAATCACGACATTCCATAAAATACCTTCATTTTTGGTCAACTCAACTCACTGTACATTCTCTTTCAATTGTGTGAGACTTCATTTTTTTTTATCATTAGATCCGCATCATATTGAACAGCAATAATATTTAAACGGTCATCCAAGTACACCATGTACACTGTTGACAAGCAATTTAAACTGTTTGATCTTTAAGTTTGTAATCAAAACCTGATTTGTGATGATGATGTAAACAAAGTTCAGTACCACGAAACACATACAATTAGCAATGCGTCAGTGACGTTTTTAAAATCATCCCATCACAGCAGCTACCAATATTTTTCAGCGCGTTTGCTTATCGCATGCAGATCATTATTTAAGTGCAGCTAAATATTTACACAGTTATAAACTCAATAAAATAGATCGTGATGAACTGTAGATAAGAATATTATTTGTTGAAATAAATTTTAGTTCCGTTTTTGATAAATACATAATCGAATGCAACGCCAATTGTTCTTAAAATGAATGAAATTCGTATAAAATTTAAGTCATTTGTGATTGGAGTTATCGCGGTGGTATTTTCGCTATTTTATTTGGCTTTACGAACTCCAGACTGTCCAAATTTAACAAATGACGCATATACATATCAACCGCAACAGGTGCCACAGAATAAACAAACGATTACCACACCGCAACCATTTACTGTATATGCAATTACACCGACGTATGCACGTCCCGTACAAAAAGCCGAACTCACGAGGTAAGTTAAAAATAAATCGTTTGTGTGTCGATATTTATTTATTTTTTTATTCGTTTCACCTTTCAGATTAGCTCAAACATTATTACTTGTGCCGTTTGTTCATTGGATTATTGTTGAAGATGATGAGAAAAACTCAGATTTAGTACGTAACCTGCTCGCTCGAACTGGGCTGAATAAACGAAGTACATTATTGTTTGCAAAAACACCAAGTGATTTTAAATTGAAACGAAAAGATCCGTCATGGACGAAGCCACGTGGAGTTGCACAGCGAAACGAAGCACTGAAATGGGTGCGTAAAAACGTCGAATACTCACCAAACTCACAGTCGGCCGTCTATTTCATGGACGACGACAACACATACAGCACCGAACTGTTCGAAGATATTAAAAATATCAAACCGGGAAAAGTAGCGGTTTGGCCAGTCGGCCTTGTTGGAGGACTTTTGGTGGAAAAACCGGTATTGGATGATGATAATCGAGTTTTAGGATTCAATAGCGCTGTGAGTTAATTACTTTTTTTATATTTTAAATGAACATTTTCAATCAACTTTCGTTTTTGTTCTAGTGGCGACCTGAACGTCCATTTGCGATTGATATGGCCGGTTTTGCAATTTCAACTGATCTTCTTTTCAAATATCCGAATGCAGTGTTTTCGTACGATGTGGAACGGGGCTATCAAGAAAGTGAAATTCTCCGATATTTAGTTGTTGTGCGCGATTTACAACCGCTTGCCAATTTTTGTCGCGAAATTTTCGTGTGGCATACGCGAACGGAAGCGCCCAAATTGGATGCGGAAGCGAAGTTGCGAAAAGATAACCAACAATCAAACAAAGGAATGGAAGTTTAACTTCTGAAGCCATATCTCAAGATGATTCTTTGTGGAAGCCATGCAGCTATTATCAATTTGTTTATATGCAGACCAAGAATTGCATCGACATCTCACACTTTTTCTATTATTGTAAGCCAAAATGTTCAAACAAAAAACGATATCGGTTAATTATATACGAAAAACAGGAATATTTTAAATCTCAAAACAATAAATATCGATTTTTTACTCAGAAATTCGAACATTTTTCACAATTATTTTGCTTTTCAGTCTCATGAATTCAACGATGGAATTTTATGGGTCGGCTGACCTGTTAATGAGCTTAAGTGACCTTTTCAGATTGAATACTTACGTTTGGAATTTCAAGCGGAGACCGAAACACCGTCCAAGAAGATTATTTCAACACCTGACCTCCTGCACTTTGTAATTGATTATTTTAAAATAAAATGGAAGTGTTTGTTTCTTGTTTCTTGAATTTCGTTTCACGTGTCAGTTTTATTGATCATAATAATACGTAATATAAAATTTTGCTTAAATCAAAATTATTACCGTTTCCATTGTGTTGTCAGTATTTTAATAACTAAAGCAAAAATCAAACAAAGCAAACCAAAAGTCAATCGCCATTATCTGGATTGTACCAACGTACAATTTTTACTGTTAAGGTCATTTTCGAGCCGTGGAGATGCAGTAAGTGGTAACGCATTCGAGTTTGGACAAACGACCAACAATTTGGTTGACTTCGTGCGATTTATTAATTAAACTTGAATATCATTTGATAGCGGTTATTATCGATAGATTTGTATATATTACTATAGTTTTGTTTTTCTTGATAAACTGTCATGTTTTCACAATAAAATATCTTAATAATGGAAATGAAGTCAAAAGACAAAAAAGGGGTTAATTTAAATGGCAACAAATCGCGATTTCTCCAAACTAAATTCTTTGCACGTTTTATTCCCTTACATTCGAATCATTGCGGTGAAAAAATTGAATTTTTTTGTACCAAATAATACTGCAACGTGAAATAGTTTCATTTCGGTACAAAATATGGGAACTATTGTTTCAACGCACTGATTCATTTGTGAGTAACACATTCAGAGTATATTTAGACAAATAAGGCAATTTTAAATATGGAATGAAAATAATATTTGGGCGTTAAATAGACAAATAGAATGCGAAATAAATGTGGTTTTTAACTGACGTTAAACCATATTTGTCAATATGAATTCGAACAAACACGAACGAAAATTAAACAAATAATAATTATCGTAAATATGTGAGAAATTGTTATCGGCGGAACTTATTGTGTAAATGATTTATGCATATTTGAAGCAAACTGGCACATAAATAAATGGCATTTATTTGATTAGAATAAACATTTATTTGTATAAATGAGTTTTTACGTCATAAAATTGTTGAAATTGTTTTGATTTCCCATGAAAATTAGTTTTGCTCGTCAGGGATGACATCATTAAGTAGGTTTATTTGATCGGAGAAAAAATATTTGGTCTTTTTTTAACAAAAACCAAAATTTAATGTTTCAAAATGAATGCACTTCGGCCCAAAAATTACAATTTACATGAAATTCCCAAATATTGATTCATTTTTTTTATCTTTTATATTGTGGTGATGATTCTAAGTACGATTTTTTTTGTGAAATCATTATTAGTTCAATTGTTATTGTTTTTTAAATGACGAATGAAAAAAAAAATCAAATAGAAAAGTTACACAATGGACATTGTGCATAGTTTCACTCGAAAAAAGTTTTTCGTTGACTCAATGTCTCCGGTTTTGGCCTTCTCTTCACTTACTTTAATTATATATAGAATTGGTGATTATGATATTTGGTTTTATTTCATCGTCTTCTTCTATCATTCAGTGTTTTTGAGTCTAAATATCTAAATCCATTCTTTTTTCATAAATAAGCTACAGACCAGAGCGATTAAATTAAATTAATTTCAAGAAAAATGAATTATAAAATGAATTATTATACTTGTCAATTATTAACAATAAAATAGTTTTTGTTGTTGTTGTTTTCATTTAAGTAAATGATCTTGCGGAGCAAAGACTAAACTTACTTTTTTATCCCAATTCACGTAAAAAATTTGTTGTTTTGTTACTTAATTAGACAAAATTTACATCTAGAGACGATACAATTTCATTTTGTTAACCGATACTTAAACATAATAAATTGGTTTGAGTTTGTTGTTCATTGTGACAAATACGAATTCGAATTTTAATTAATTGGAACTAATTTAAAATTGACGAAAACAAAATTTTGCTTTAAAATGAAAATGAGTTGGAAATTTTGTGTGGCAGATTTTTCTAATCAAAGATCGTTCGCTGATCACGTTTTCTGTTGCACGCTATGTGAAAATGACAATTTCATTACACTTTCGTCTTACTTTGGTAAATGTGTTGACATCGATTTTGTTTTGTTTTTTTTTTTTAATTATTGTTATTCATAGCTACTCCTTAAGATTAACGTTTACATTTATTACATGTTTGTTTTTGTTTGTTTCTGTGCATTTTGAAATGTTCACATTTAGCAAAAAGAATGAATGTTTATGTGTTTGTTGCACTGTCGCTGCCTTGCGTTTATCATACATATTTATTTTTCTTCGTCTCTTTGTTTAAATTTTTTCAGGATTTTTCCCATCAAAAGTCGTGCAAATTAACGTATATAATTCCATTAGTGAGATTGTTGCTTGAAATCTGCCTTTATATTCACACAGCTGAGTTTTTGCCGAAGAAATCACCACCGCTCCGAGAGTGCACGGTTCGGCCATCGTATTCAACGGACAATGGTTTCTTCATCGAATCACAGTCCATTGTGTTAAGTGGCTCGTGTTCATCCCTACATTATAAAAAGAAAGAACAACAAAATTACAATTTTTTTTATTAAGTAGATAATGTTTGAAAAAAAAAAAATAGAAAATAATAATCAAGAAATGAAAATATGTCTAAATGTGAAATTTAAATAAAAGAACTACATTTTGACAGGAGATGCATTTATCATATTACTAGATAAATGAAAGAATAGACAACATTTTAAAGATGCTTTCATTCTTTTGATGTTCCACAAAAATGTTTTAAATAATTCTCAAGCGAAAAAACTCTCATCATCAAAATGAATGTAACACATTTTAAAGTGACGTTTTTATTAAGCACTTCGAATAGAATCAAGTGCAAAAAAAAATTGGCAAACGAAACTGCATCTTTGATGTGAGCGCTTTGAACACATTTTCAAAAGAAAATAACAGCTCTTTTGCATCAAACAAAAGTCTGATTAAATTTAAGTATACAAAACCGTTGGCATTTTTTTTTCTCTTCTCATTTCATTTACTTCATTGTTGGGTATGAAATTTGCTTCAAGATTGAGATTTTTCTGTACAGAAGTAAATAACGTGATAGACGAAGAGAATGTGCCAATGCTCTAAATTATTACTAAAGCGCACAACATAATTTGTGTTCATTTTCATTTTTCATCTCCTGTTTGTAGAAATTAAAAAAAAATGCAAACGTAAATGGTTCTGAATGTAATAGAAGACACTTGAACAAAATAAGAACTCTTTGCATCTTCAAATCTCACGGTATTTTTCGTAGAAATTGAAAAAGAAAACGCAACAAAAAAATATCAGAAACAAAAAAAGTCGAATAAAAATGATAAGAACGGAAAAAGAACATAAGCACTCATCGTCCGAAAGGAAACGAAAAAAAAAAACAAAAACACTTTGGCGATAACGGTTGTTTGTGGGCGCTTACGGTGTTGTGACTGGTGATCCGCCAAGTTTCAATGGTGGTGGCAATGGTAAAGGCGATGGAGGTGGCTCCTTCACAAGCTGTCCGCTGCAATAAGGTAGCGGGAAACGCCAACCGTAAAGACTATATGTTTATTTATTTGGAAATCAAGAAAAATTGGTTTCGACTTGGTTTTTAACGATTTCAACTTTTTTTTATTCGATTCATGATTGATGTTTTCTTATGATTTGTTGCATTTAAAAAAAGGGAAATTTGTTTATCTTTTTTTTTCTACGAAAAAAAAGCGTTTGAAAGTTGATATTTTCTTTTATTATTTACAAAAGGAAGCATGAGATTGAAAGGCGAATGATAATTGAATGGAAAAATAAAGACCGTTACTCTGTTTTCTAGTGCAGTAATGTCAAAGAGGATTCAAACCGACTTTTCCAATTTCTTTTTTATGTTTTTATGCAATATTATATAGCAAAAGTTGAAATGATATAGCATACCTGCCGATTTTCGTTTCTTCGTCGAGTTCAGATGGGGCTCTCTTGTTGCGTCGACACAACGTTGCAATCACACCAATGTGCATCGTAAGGCAGCATACAAAATCGACGATAAGCAAAAACAGTAGAACACCACCGACAGCAATGGCAATCAGAGAGGCTGATGTAACTGGCGATGCAGGAATTACCAGGTCACGGCCTAAAATCAAAACGTTCACAAATCCAATGCGATATCGTCGTTTACATTTTGTTAATCGGGCGCAGGGTTTTGGGTGCGTGTATTTTTTTGTTTTGAGTATTTGCCAAATCCAAATCAAATAGTGCGTGTAGATTAGTTTCAAACAAATTAGAACAAAAATTTAATTGTAATTAGTGAATGTTCGAAATTAATGCAAATATTGAACATAAATATGTGTTGTTAGTGAAGAAGAAAGTTACTTACACAAAATATGTAAGTGTATATTTGTGTTAGATATATTTAACATAAATGTATATGCAATTTGTGTTTTTTTCTCATGTAGATCGTTTGCATATGGGTGTGTGTATTTTTTGTGTGTTTAATAAATATGTGCAAATTCAAATGAAATAAAAATTGAAATGAAATTATTTGAAAAAATGAATATAGCATAACCAAAAAGCCTTTGAACCGAATATTTACTCTCCATCAGTGGACCACCACCGCTACATTAATTTTGATTGACTGTTATAAACCATTTTTTCCCAATCACCCAATGATAATGTTAATATAAATTTTGATTGATAATAAAGTTCTTAAAAAAAATCATTTTTTTCGTCCATAAACATAATTAAAAATCCGTTTAAAAGCAAATATGAGTAGATCAATTAAAAAATACTTTTCAATTTATAATATTAAATAAAATATTAATATTAAAAATTCCATTTCTTTCAATAACTTTTTGGGTCGATTACCATTACCGCATATTTATAAAGTAGCTATCAATATCCAAACACCCATTGGATTTATACGCTATATAAATATGTTTACATCGTAGATTTAACATTTAAAATTACATTTTAATATCTAAAACTATAGCATTTGGTATCTATGTTCGTTTCCATTAGTTGTATGTTATTCCAAATTTTTTTTTCTCATATCGTAAATTTATTTGCACGTTTTTTGTGCAATGCTATACAAAAATGGCGCGTTGAATTCAAGCAATGACATAGAAGTAATGTGAGCAACTGAGAGGGAATAAAAGCGTTTACATTACATCTTTTCAACCGTTTTTAATCACGTACTTTCATCGTTCTATTTGTTGAAATTGAAAAGAAAAGTCGATTTAATGACGCAAATACTCTGTAATCGCACTCATTTTAAAGCTAAAAAGCGCCAATTAGCTTCATATCATGCAAAAGCTTTTATGTGATTGTGTATGCGTTCTATTTTCTCTCTTTTCCTGATTGCATTCATTTTGGTTGCTTGTGTTTCATTTTGTGTGTATGTGTGTGTTTTTTTTTACAAATTCATGTGATTTTACTGTTTTATGTGTTCTTATAATATGCTCATATGAAGAGAAAAGACTATTTACAAAAAAGATAGATTTAGGGATCTGGGTATAGTTTTTTTTTCTTTGTGACAGTGCATTATATCTACAAATTAACATTCAAAAACCAAAAAAAGGAGTAGAGTCCAAATAAGAAGAAGGGTTGAAAGCAAAATAAAAGTTTTCATGTTATTTACCTTCTTGTTGACAATAAAAGAACTCACATTTTAAAAATTGATGGTATAAAACTAAAATAAAAACATTACACGATGTTGTGTGGATTGGTAGAAACTGTTCTGTTTCGATGAGAAGATAGAGAGAAAAGATTCGTGGTGGCACTTGTCTCAAGAAATTCTGACGCAGAATGCAAGAGTTTCGAATATGCAATGTGACATTTTGTGAAATCGTAATCGAAAGAAAAACACTGTTTTATTTATTTCGCTTTAGATTTTAATTACATATCTAAATCAAAAAACAAGTAGTTTGCAAGTAGTTAAATTGTATGTTGTAATTGCTAAAATCGGTTGGTTCATGGTTTATATATGTGTATATGTGTGTATAATGAATACACTATTTTGGACTTTTAAGAAAATCTTTGATTTGATTCTTTGTTGAAATATTCGTTGTCGGAAAGCCCCTACCCTTATATATCATTATAATGAATGCTTAAAATTCATTTAACTTCTGTTTGTACACACCGAATATTTATTTTTATTTTTTTAAAAATGTTCAAACTCCTTTATATCGCATATTCGTAAACAATCCTTAAATATTTGTGTTTTTCTTCACCGTTAAATACATATATTTCCATACATTGATAAACATTTGTGTAAAAAACAGAGATTTGGAATTGATATTTCGTATTAAATTATAGTAGTCTAATTGAACATTTATAATTGAACGGATTCCCTTTGATCCAACAACAATATTTATTCGTTCGTTTTTTCGTCATTTATTCATTATAAAGAAATTCTGCTTTTAATTCAAACTAACTAAATATTTTCACTAACTAAGGCATTGTGTTTTGTGAAGCAACTTATTTCAATATAATAATTTTTAATCAGCGATCATCACTACCCTTTTCTTATTCTGTGTGTCATTAACGGAATCTACACACAAATCATCGCCTATGTAATATTTTTTCACTTGTATACAAATTCAACACTGATTTTTTTAAAAAAATGCTGTAAAATATGGACTGGATAATTAGATTGGTCATTGGGCTATGGAACCAGTGAAATTATTGTCCAATTTAATTTGAAAAGTGACAGTTTGTCGATATTTTAGTTTTGCTCATTTTACTTATTCGTTGGATGAATTGAATTAATAAAAATTCAAACGAGATTTCCATAACTACGAGAGACAATGGGCTACATATATAATTATTTGATCTCTCTCACAAAAAACACCCAATTCGAGTGACAATATCATGCACACTACAAATAAACACTTAGAAGAACACAAATATGATATATACACATCAAATTGTGTTCGAATGGAAATCTTATAGCTGCGTTGTTCGTTTATTTCCATTGCCACTAAATTTCTTTAATATTCGAGTATTTATTCATTAATTAATAATCAATTAGGTATTAATTTTGAAACGAGCCACTCAAACGACGATCGGTATATTTTCTATTTTTGCTACTCGATACCGTTACGTATATATGTGTGTGTTTGTTTCTTTTGTCGAAATGTGAGTGAACGAAATTGATATTATTTTTCTAGGAAAGGAACATTTTTATTATCGAGTAGTGTTTGGAGTCGTCAACGGATTTTTAATTAGTTTTCGTTTTGCCTAAAAATGTTCTTTTGCTATGGTTTTATGTTGATTAATCTAAGATATAAATGTATTAAATTCGTATGATCTTATTTCTTGGCTACATGCTGTCTGACGGTTTCAATAATTTTCGTTTTTTTTCGTGTAAATTCCAATATGCCATTGAACAGCATACACGCACTACGTTTTGAGTATAATTGAGATGATGGACTTTTAATTATTGTTCCATGATAAAAATGTATTCTAGTTATTGTGTTTTGTGAAATTGCCCAAAATCAACACCATTCGCTCATTTATTCTACATCACTTTTAAAGAAGAGAATTGATGATTTCTTAGAATCCCAAATAAATAGAGAAATGGAATGAACTACAACATGCATGAGACACGGAATAAAAGTACTGAACCAAATTTATGAATATTCCAAATAATTCATTTGAGATTTAATGATAATTGGGCATCTGTTTCACCTATGAAAGCCCCAATTCAAATGACGTCTATTGGCATGCAATAACATGTGCAGAAACGATTATTTGCTATGACTTGAATATACGAGAATGAATATATGAAAACGAGAATGTGAAATGATTCGCCAATGAATTAAGGAATGTTATCGAACAAAAATGATTTAATTGAACATAGACATGTTGATGGTTGGCTTTGTCAGATCAAACTACGATCACATTAACCAATAAAAAATGCCTTGCATCTCTATGTAATAAAAAAAGATATGTATAAATATAGTTAAAACACTACAAAGAAACAGAAATAGATTCAAACCGAAAAAGTATAAGGTATGAAAATGAGCCCAGTTTTCACACGGCCATAATTACATACAATATATCTACGTTTTTCTTGATTCATTTAAATGTTTCGTGTGTATTTGTGTATACCCACAACAACAACAATATAACAAACATAATATGAATCAGGAATGGAAACATTCACAGAGAAATGGCTAAAAAATGGTTTGATATTCGATTTTTTTTTATTTTTTTTCAATAAAATGAAATTATTTGGTGAAATCAGTGTATGGAAGAAGATTGTGTGTCTGTCGTTGCGAATGAATAATTGCTGAACATGATCGATGCCACTAACGCTGTGTAGACTAATGATAACAACCATGGATTGTGTGCACAAGCGACACTGCCACCTCTATACCTCTTATCATCGCCTGGATGCAGCAAGAAAGACACATACAACCAAAAACATTACTATACACAATGGTGAATATATGGACAGCGAGTGTATGTTTGTGTTTGTATTTTTTGTATTTATATGAGTGTATGATATTTGTGAGAGAAAAAGACTGATTAACAAATTACACTTTGAATGTGGTTTTTTATAATATCATGTTGTGCAAAAGAGACATTTATTGAAATTTGGAATAGAAAACGGAATAAAATTGAAACTAAAACACACATATGTTTAGATAAATGCGGATTAAACTGAAATGGATATGATTTGAGCAGGTGAAATAAAAATGTGAAACTGAATGAAATGTGAACTATTTTCTTGCCAATTTTGCCTTACGCATGAATATGTGAAATAACAATCATAAAGATACAAATACAATTTGTTACGATTATATATATTCAAATGAATTGGAGTGGACATGTATGAGAGTGGCGAAACAAAGAAACCAAAATATTGTTCTTGGGATGTTGAAAACATATAACAAACCATTTAGACGTCATTTTTTTTTTGAAATAGAAACGGTGCGAAATGAAATAACTCAATTTAATCAAGTTCAACGGAAAGAGTTGGAACGGAAGATTTTTATGAGAATTATTACAAAAATGAGAATAGACTGAATGAACACAAAAACAAATCAATATTAATACCTAAATTATGTCGAAATTTTATTGCTTTCGTTCAATCATCAAATTGTTCTTGTTCTTCTTTCAAAGTGAATCACGAATAAATGAGTGAATGAGAGAGATGGTGTTTTTTTTTGTTGAAAACAAATTTCACTAATTTTGTGGAACGAAATTTCGACATAATTTCACCAAAAAAAGGTCAATTGCAAGCGGTGGATTTCCTTTTGCATCGACTTCGTCAAATTTTGTTTGTCTTTTTTTTTCAGTTTGACTTAATTCTATCGCAATTTTTCAAGCTCAATTGAGCTTGGTAAAATAAAATAATTTTTTTTTTCAATTTTCTCTTTGATTTCAATTTTCTTCGAAAGAAAAGCAAATGAATTAATAATTTTCACGCAAATTATAAATTGACAAAACGTTCAAATTATAAAGAATTAAATTAAAATGAAAATAATCATAACCGTTCAGTGATTATAATACCCAAAATATAAACAAAAACTAGACAACGTAAACAGCATACAATTCAATCGAGTGACGAAATTATAATTGTAATAAATACTGGAGGCTGATGATGTATGACCGTAGTATAAAAGTGAACCTAGTGCATTTGTTGACTCACCTACAGCCGTTTTCATGAGCAATGTGACCGGCTTTGAAAATCCGATTGCGTTATGGGCACGGATTTGAATGCGATAGTATGTGTCACCGCGTAATTCAGTCATTTTAAAGCCAACCGTCTCGCTGGGCGGAGCATTTTTCGTTTCGCATAATTGATTGATTTCATTCAAAGCGCCGTCAACCTTAAGGACCTGCGTTTCATTTAAAAAAAGTTTTTAATGATCGATTAATTTTGTTGAAGAAGAAAAAAAAGTAACCGAAAAAAAGCTTCGCTAAAATCTTATATTTCAAAGGCGTATACTTACTGGACAGTAACGAATTTGATAGAAATTAATTGGTTCACCATTATCTGGTGGTGTACTCCACGATAAATCAAAATGATCGGAATATGGTGAAACAACTAATGGTTCTTCGTCTTTGTTATCACTGTTTGGAACTCGATTGTGTAATATTTTTGGTGATTCGGGCGCCGATCGAACTGGAAAAAGATGAAAAGAATTAAAAAAAGTTTGCCAAAAGTGGTGGAAATATTTTAAGAAAACAAAATTTAAATTTGAAAATATTACCTGGTGTAGCCTGTGCTACATATGCACCCCATTGTCCTAAACCGACTTTATTCAATGCAGCAAAACGAAAATCATAGAATGTTTGTGGTCGAAGACCTTCAACCGTGAATTTACTATCTGGTGACCAAGAGCGATTGTATGCATTTGTCCAATCCGGTTCATTTCGGTCTTTGTATTGTGCGGCAAATGCGGTGATTGGAAGACCTGGGTCATATGGTGGCGATAGAATTTCGAATGTAATTGTTGTGGCGGTGACAACGACCGATTTGGCTTGTGGAATAACATCAGGGATGCGAGCTTCACGCAATTCCATTAAATGTTCAGCTTGTCCAAGACGATTTCTGGCAACACATTTGTATGCAGTATAGTAACGACGTTCACGTGGAATAACCAATAAATCACTTCGTGGTCCATTTCCTTCAATTTGCAAATTTGGATCGTTTAGCTCTTTTATTGGGCGATCATTCCATTTCCATTCGATTGTTGCATTTGGAAAACCTTGACAATTCACAAACACATCAAAGTTAATAAATTGTTTCTTTATTTTCTCTCTCGAAAGTTTAATTCCAACAAATGTTTATATCGTACCTTGTGCCAAACAACTGAGATTTGCTCTTTGTTCGTTCCATGTGTAAACTGGTGGTAAAGCTGACATATGTTCAAATGTTGGTGCATATTCAACGGTAATATGGCCATTTTTATATGCTGAATCGCCTTTATTACGCGCAATACACTCATACAATCCATCGTCAGATCGACGCAATTTATCAAAACGAAGAACACCAGTCGATTCGCCTTTGTAATCGTCACCACGTTGTTCCAAAGAAATATAGTCTAGAGGTGATTGTTGTTGGCCCGGACTGAATTCATCGGTTGATCCCCAGCGACGGAAAGCTTTAATAATAAAAAATATTTATTAGATTCAATTCTTAAATTAGATTCAATCAACACTCACTAATCTCTGGTGGTGGTCGGCCAGTGGCTTTGCAAATAATTTCAGCTTCTTCATTTTCAGGACGTGTAATATTCCACAATTCATAAATTCGTGGTCGAATCAATACATTGATAAGCGCTTTAGCTTTATCTTCACCCGCTGAATTTTTTGCATGGCAAGTATAATTTCCGTAGTCATCCTTTGTTACTCTCAATATATTCAATTGTCCCGTCAACGGGTTAACTTGAAATCTATTCACATACAGAGATAATACCAGTTTATTATGGAAAATTCTTGATGTAATTTATGTAAATAAATGAAATTACCTGTCGGCACTTTCAACATTCAATTGTTCACTATCCTTGATCCATGAATAAGTTGGCACTGGTTTACCTATAAAAGATGGATTTTTAGTAAATTCACTTTATCTTCGCTGTCAACCGTTAAACTAAACGACTTTAAGCAATAATTAATCGCCTTAAAAGAAAAAAAAGAGAGAATGAAGTTACTACATACCAGTGGCATTACATTTCAGCGAAAATGGTTGATCTTCAATACCCTCCAATTCCATTTCGAATGGTTGTACCTTTGGCAATACTTGGACCTCAACGCGAATATCACGTTCAACGAATTCACCGGTTTGAACAACAACTGCACGGCACGTATAAATGCCATCGTCTGATTCTTGTACATTACGCACCAAAAGACCTTTTGTTTGAATTACATACCGGTCACCAATTTTAATCTGACCCAAGATGAGAGAAGAAAAATTTAAATTGAAAAAAATTTCTATTTGATTAATAAAATGGTTGGAATTGTTTTACATACCGGATCACCATTGCGCAACCAATCAACGGTCGGAGCTGGATTAGCAGTGACTTCACATTGAACGACATAATCTTTGCCAGCGACTGGATATTGATATTCTGGTGCATTTCTCCATGTGATTGCGACTATGTTTGCATATAAAGAAATTTATATAGATTATTTACAATGAAATACAAAAGATAAACACGTGCCATCCACATGGGAAATACCAGTTTCTAGCAATAAAAACTTTTTTCATTAAAAATTTACCATAAGTTTCGATATCAACGCTGGTTTCGAGAATTTCTGTGTTTGCATATGATGCGGAGCAATAGTATTTGCCTGCCATGGTCTCAGTCAATGAAGGTATGATCAAAGCCAATAATTGCCCACCGGGCAACATTTCTGTGTACATCGGTGGTGTCGGAGATCCAGATCTTTTTTTTTTTATTTTAGAAAATGAACACAATTATTAATGAGAATAAAATCAAATATAAAAATAAATAAAAATGAAAACCAAATCCAGTTTTAGTTAAAAAAAACTTTCTTCGAATTTCAATTAACAATATTAACTTTAACCAAAAACTATTTACATATATTGATTCAATTCAATAATTCATGATTGTAAGAGGTTAAATGTCATTGGTGGAGGAAAACATACTATCTCAATGTAATTGTAATGAAATCAATTTGTAATGGCAACAATAGAACAAAAGAGAAACATGAAATGATATTTTATGTATAATAATTAGTAGTTGCTTTTTGTTATTTTCAATTCCCTGGAAGTTGTTAGTTTTTTGTTTGTTAGAATTGGTTTCAGTGAAATTATCAATAGAAAACCGAGCATTATGTGACTGAGATACGGGAACAATTTAATTTAATGGATGAAACTAGTAATTTACATAATGATTTTATTAGATTAAATTGATTCAACCCTTTGGTGAACGCCCTTTGGTTAGTAATGCAATCAAGAAGTAAAAAAAACCGAAGCCATTCCAGCAAAGAACATTAGATTGCTGCACTGTGGAAAATGCCACAAACTCGAGTGCCAAAACACAAAAACGGAACATGGATATGTGTTTGTTTAATTTGAAAACACGCTAACTTACGTCGGTTCATTACGCAATCTTCCATTGGAATCATACTTTGGTATATAATAATTCGATCTAATTGAATTTGCAATTTGGAATGTAATTTTTTTTTTGTGTCAAAGTACAAAGATATAGAGACAAAAGGAAAGAGAAAATAGTAAATTAAAATCGTATCTAAAGCTAAATAAGATTAATATTTTTCATCACAATGTTGAATATATTGGATTAAATATAAGTACAAGTTATGCTCCACCGTCGACCGTACTAAATAGAGAAAATCCGGTAGTTTATCGAGTTTCATTTCAGTGAAAGTACTTACTGTTTTGGCATTATGTTGATGTTGTCTTGTCCTCTCCATCGCAAATCAGTGATTAAATCCGGATTGTCAACTTTTGCTTGACATGTCATCAACGTCGATTTCCCGATCGGTCTGTATTGTGGCGTTTGTCGTGGAAGGATTTCAAGTCGGGGTTCTTGGCAATTTACATTATCTGTTGAGCAAGAGAAAAACATAAGCAAGTTAGTTGAGTTACATCGTAAATTTGTTTGCGAAATATTCCATTGATTTTCAATCAGATCCATGAAAAAAAAGGTTCCATCTCTATTGTTTCTTTTCTTCGATTCAGTATAATATACGTATAATTCAATTTAATTAAATCATAGCTGATATTTCTTTTTTTATATATTTTATTCTATGCTCGAAAAGCGTTCATGAATGAGTATGCTGAATTCGGTCCAAAGAAAAAAAAATTATATTCAATTTATTTTGCATGCATAAACAGCAACGATAATAGATAATTTGTCGATGATGTGCGCTGAATTTTAAACTCATTTTCCATGGTAATTTTATGATAGAAAGAGAGCGCTTCGGAAAATGTGTGGGTATGCATGAATCTTCTTCTTCGTTGGCCATTGATTACTTTACAACGGGCTTGCAAATGATTCCAACCTCTCTCCCTCCATCTCCGTACTTCAATTCAATCAGTGTTATTTAATGACGATAACAATTGGACGATGCACAGTCAACCCCTAGTGTGATTGAGTGTGGATGAGTGAGTCGTATGGAAACTTACGAGACGGCTAATCGAACGTGTTCCGATGCGAACGAACGTTAATAATGAGGTCTTTTCTTCTATTTTTTTCTCTCTCTTCTTATTTACAGTAGACGAACAAGAAAAAGAGAACAAAAAAAATGCAAACTCGACTCGATTTGTGTCGGATCGAGGAGCACGCATTGCATGCTCACAACTTTTTAAATGCGATTACAACTTTGTTTTGTTTAAACTTATACGCATCAAAGGCATTAGGCTTTTCATTGTGTAACACACCTTAACAAAAACCATGCATTTTATCGAAATAGCATTTTGTTTTCACTTTTGCTGTTCATCGATGCAGTCGCACATTTGGCACAAAAAAAGAACAAGACAATCCGTATCTTTTGTTTTGCCGGCCACTTCTAAATGGTAATTTGGGGGGATTCTCGTTTATAGATGAGCCAAATGCGTGATTCGAATTTCGAATCTGATGCGATTACAATTTGGCTCATCATCACATAAAATCGAAAAAAGTGTGGACGGCATGCACGCCGTCTGAGAAGCGTGTTGAAATAAATATGAGCGTGTGTTTTTTCTGTGCTTTTATTTTTTGTGGTGTTTGTGTTGGAACTTTAATTGATCCCAATTCGAAGGCGCGCAAATGCTACTCGAAAACACCACATAATTAATTGCCAAGAATAATAAAACAGTGTTATTTTTTTTTATTTTTTTGCTAAAACTTTTTTTACGCTTGCCAAGTTTTCAGCATAAAAAGGGAAAGGAAAGAGAAAAAGAGTGTGAAAGAAACGGGAGCAACCGGAGAAATTTTTAATTAAATTTCTGGTGAACCAGTTTTGCGCGAGGTGTTGATTTACGTCTGTGCTCGTTAGCATATCGCTTGAACAAAAAAAAAACAATTTCATCGATTACAGCCACATTTTGCACATTTTAATTCGCCGTCTTGTAAGAAACTACGTGAAGCATTTTATCGATTTTTCGTTGGCACAAAAACATAAATTTTCCGCAGAAAACTTTATATAATATTGAAACAGTGAAAATAATTTAATGGCTTGAAAAGTGATGGCATAGAATGTTTCATATAACAAGGAAATTGAGTTTTGCTTAACACCATTTTGAACTCATCAATCATTACTTAATTTTTGATGTTTGAACAGGAGCGTCATATGTTAACTATGCACAATACACATCTATGGTTGTAACTACGGGATTCATAACACTTTTCACACTCACAATGTAAAAAAGAGTGTTTAGTATTTAAAAAAAAACCTTCGATCGATCTTAGCTAGCTTTTTAATAAATAAACTGTTTTTGCGTCCCATAATGAATAATCAGCTTTCAACAGTTACAGTGGCTTGAAAATAAACACTATTTATATCGAAATCCCATAGCAACGATTGTTACATTTTAAATCCCTAATATAACAATGACCACCATGCCTTTGTTTCGATTGAATAAATGATGGGTTAATTGGAATTTAGGTGATGCACAAAAAACTAACCGTATCAGCTTTTTGTTGGCACACTACAGAAATTAAGCTGCCATTCGCAATAAATAATTTGTGTCGAAACATGAAACCAAATTGTGCGGACACTTCACTCCTAAATATTTGATTGTAATTTATTGTTCGATCTGGGGAAAGGGCCTTTATTATCATGAAAAACTACTAAAGACTGGTAACTGAATTATTTATTGAGCATTTTTTTTCACTTAAACTGCCAATGAAATTTTAATTTGTTCAATTTTTGGTAAAAACTCTTTTGGCGTGTCCCACATGGGTGCGTGTGTGTGTTTGCATGTGTTAAATTTTCATATTCATCCATTAAATCACAATTAAACGGACACAACAATTAAACTATAATGGACATATAATTTGCCCTTAAGCGCAATTCAAGAGTTGTGAGATGTACAGTTCTGAACACAGTTCTGAACACATTTTACACATTTGCATTTTTTGGAAACATGAAGCCGAAATTAATTGAATTTACGTGTGCATAACAAAAATGCCTTTTTAATCATCATTCAATGGGAAATGCCGCTTTTTATTTTATGTAGTAAATTAATTTTTTGGTCTTTGTTACTTTTTTGTATATTTGTATCCAGTTATCCTCTTGTGCTTTTGAGATCCATCGGATGAAAATTCAAATTCATTATAAAAACCTCAAATACGAAAATATTAATTAAATTTACATTTCCGCAAAAGAGCATTATTGGGACAAAAAAAATATTGTATGTACTTATTGTGGTTCAGAAAATTTATTATATAATTTTTGGCGCTCTCTTGCTCATCACGCACAAAAAAATGTTGCTCATTTCATAGCGTTGCCATAGGAGATAGAAGTAAAATTACAATGGCAAAAGCCACATTTTCAGTGACATTTTAAATTCATCGAACCTTTAATTTGTGGTTTTTGGTTTTTTCCCCCATCATGATTCATGAACGAGTCCCAGACTTGGTGTAAAAAGTGTGTTATAACTAAGTATGATCAACATTGGAAAATTACAACTCATCAACAAATAAAAAAAATGTGGTGCATTTCGGAAATTTCGTTTTTTTTTTCAAATACAAATGAAAGTATGTATTATTTAATAGATAATGGTTTTTGTAGTGGTTTTCAAACATATTTTATACTTAGTTGTACTACTTTTATAGGCTCAAAAAGCAGGCTGATATTGACTTAGTGACATCAGTGACATGTGTTAATTGTGATATTGTTATTTTGTTGTATAAAATTCCATACTCATTAAAACAAACAGAAGGTGACATTTGCAACGCAACGATTCTTCAAGTGAGGTGCAAAAGTGTATATACACTGAACTCATTCGATAGAGTGATCAATAAGCAATTAGTTGTCAACTTGTCGATTACATTTTAACTAAAACATATTGAAACGATCTTTTTAATTTGAGTTAAATTAAATCATGTTGCATCGAAATATTTTCGCTCTACTTTTTCTCGGAATCGTATTTTGTGGGGTAAATAAGTTTAAAAATTAAAGATGGATCGCGATTTCAGATTCATATTCCTTTTTTTCTACAGATTCAATTCTCTGAAGTGAATGCAAGTAACAATGGTAAAGGTATCATAGGTGGTATGGGCTGTATTTCTGGCTCAAAAACAGCCGATGATCTGTGGGAGGAGTATCAACGATTGTTGCAACTAGGTAAGGCGGAGAAAGCGCAGAAGATGTTAGACAAGTATAACGAGAAGTATGAACAGGAACAACGTGAAGCACTACAAAGATTTAATAGAGAAGAAGAAAGGCGTAGGAGAGAAGAAGAAAGGGTTCAAAAGAAAGCTGAAGAAAATAAACACAAGAAAATTCGTCCTTTATTCTTTCAAGAATAAATGTTCTCCTCGTTACTTGGACAATCTTATTGTTGATTAAATTGATTGTCAATATGAAAAAAATGTCAAAACGCAATGAAATTGAATAAATAAGATTTCACAAAGAATAACTAATTTAATGTATAATTATTTGCCACGCAGCAGGAAGTGAATCCATAATTACCAATTTACGTATTGCAAAAGGAATGTTTGGTAGATAATTGGTTTTCCATTCACTCTTTCTTTCTCTTATATGCACGAAAATCTGGTTGTGAGTATTGCTATGGCAGTCTTCATCATTTTTTCACAACTTTCGCGAATTCACTACAGTTTTTCTATTTAAAATAAAAAGCCATTTCGTAAAAAAAATTCTATATATTGTGTGCATTAGTATTTCTTAATGTTTTTGAAATCACATCGTGCATGACAACAACATTGACCGAAACTTTAATTTTTGGTTGACAGAGAAACGAAGGGCAAGCGCAATTTGACAGATACTTATAACACCATCTACGTAAAACACGCTGACTACAATGTAAATCAAACGTATAAAAGTTTCCCCTTCTTCTTCATCTCATTCCCCTCACTATACTTTTTGATTGTAGTAAGCCTGTTTTACACAGATGGCGTTTTTCTGTAAGATATGTGACGTCATAATACAATCATATTGACTGCGCTCATCTCTCGCAGAGAAAAAAGCAACGTATTCAACACTATTGAAATGGTTTGATAACATGGTAACATAGGATAAATGTATGTAAATGGTTTGTAATCAACACCGATAATTTGGATAAACAATTGGCCAATTTCGCCTAGTTTATTGGTTTGGGGTATTGAAAACGTCATGACTTTTGTCTATTTTATTTTCTTACCGGATACCATGAATTAGCCATTCAAGCGTAAATAGAGCTTGCACAATAGAAAAAGAGTCTAGCCATTGACTGTGTGCTTTGGACGGTCGAAATCGATCTTATCGACAGAGCGAGAGAGTAACACGTGTGTGATTTTTATATGAAAATAATGAATGTGCGAAATCAGCAAAAGCGACTTTTCATTTGTCATGTATTTTTTGTTGGGCCGTAGTGTGTACGACATCATCTGAATGGGTATTACCAAAGGATGTTTATGTGTATATTATAAACACATATCCCAATATCAGCAATGTAATGCGAAACATTTGTATAACACCAAAAGCGATTCATTTATTATACGATGGAAATACAAGCATGCTTTACGATTGGAATTTCGGGTATGATATGAAGAAAAAAAGAATACTTCCGAATTCATTTAAATGGCTCGGCTTTTCTGACAACGTTCTGACTTTTATTTGCTCACATTTTATCACACAGTTTGAATTCCTTATTGACATATGGAATTGACATCGATGTGTCGATGCACTTACTCACTATGCCACACACTATATCCGTCGAAACAATGTGTGCTGAATAATATTGACACTCATAATGAAATCTGTCAATTTCAGTTAAAATAAAGGAAAAGAAGAAAAAATCCAATTTGCTGCCAAAGAAAACGACTGCCATTGAATGGAAAATTCATCACCTAATACATAATCAATGAAGCTCTCCCAATACTATGGCATGGTTTAATGTATTTTGAAGTTTGTTTTCTTCCTATGTCTTTGTTGTCATCATCGTCGTCGCATGACACATCCATTGGGTTTTAATCATTTGCAGCACATTCTGCTCGCTCCTCTATCTTCCTCTCTAACTATCTCGCTCTCTCTCCTTCTTCCGAACAATGGTTTTATTATGCGAGAATTTCGTTTAATTCTGAAACAGCGGTACATTTGTACTACATTAAACAGATGGGAATGAAGATGGCGATAAGGAAGTCATCACCACCGAAAATTACAATGGAAATGGATTTATTGAATGAACAAATGAAACAATATGTATAATTTTCATGTATGGCTATTGCAAACTGACTTTTCTCAATTTTGGGCCGCTTTTGTTCAACTGATGGAAGCTAGACAAAGTGAAAATACTGTGAAACATACTGAAATTGGATGGAGTATGTGCGAATGAAAAGCGCCACGGGAACATGAAAGCTAAACGAGCATGCTGACTGGCTGGCTTGGCTGGCTCGCACACTGTATATTCCAAAGGAGGGTTGCATTTACGTTACGTGCCCAAACATGTAATGTTAAAGAGTACATGTGCACGCAATTATGTGCATTAAACATATTTTCTCATTTGTACGTGCCACAACATTTTCAACATACTGTTCCCTGGAGTGATGCATGTTCCAAACAACAGTACAATACAGCACATGCAAAATTTACGTTCAATTCCATCCATTTTCTTTTCAACGAAAAACGCATACATGTTTATACGCTCGTTTTTTTTATTCTTCTCTAGCCCTTTCCATTTTTCTGACTTTCTTTTTGGTTTAAATATTATTATCGTTGAAGACGACGACGAAGACGTCGGCAATGCTGTTGTAGCGGTAACATGTTTTCATGAGCATTTGTTTCATGCGTGTTGTTTCATTATCGTAATAATTTTATTAAATTTTTCCATATTAGGCATGTCAAAATCAAATTAAATCGTCGTGAATAAATTGCGTTGTTATGAGTTTTTATCGCGATGGATTTTTGTACAGGGTATGGCATTCTTGTGGGACTTTAATGCGTGATATGTCAAATGCCTTGACGGAATTGATTCTAAAACAACAAAAGGATGTGTTCGCAGAAGAATTTTTTTTCGTTTCGCGACGCACCCTGCAATAAGCACGCGTCACTCAAGACCTTGCAATGAATATATATATTGTCGAGATGGAGCGCTCGTGCGAACAAACGATTGAAACAGAGTGTGAGTGTATAAATCACTTTCGCTTTTCAATTTCGTTTCTCATGCATTAAATCGTAAACAAGTTGTCGGCAAACATCGCCAATCCATTTGATGTCTGTTGTCGTATGTTAACAACTCAATTCACAATTAAATTTTATGTTTTATTTATTTTACGGTCTTTATTTGAATGCTCTTGTCTCGAATGCTCTCTCGTTTAAACAAGAAAAAATAAAAGCATCGCCTGAATGTAATTATAAAGTTTCAAGTTCATGTTCACAAAAACGAAAAGTATAACAAATCCAAAGAAATACTTTTGAAAGCCAAATAAAAACCGAACGAATACGATCTGAATAAAATCGTCTTAATGAAAATTCCAAATGGTTGAGTTTTGTGGCCATCATTCCGTTAATCCTTGTAAAACGAACAAAGTGTCCGAATTAAGATAGGAGAAAATCCCAAAAACAATGGAATAAATCACGTTTAAGCATTTATCGTACGGCCAAAATTATTGAGCTTAAGGATATCTTCGCCACCCAAAGATGTTCGATATCGGTGAGCATAACAAATCTATGCGAAAATGAAATGGACTTTGGTATAACGAAATGCGAGAATTTATGGTTTGTTTTGTTTATGTACGAAGTACCAAAAAAAAGAACGAAAAATACCTTTTGGCATTCGTTTCGGTATTATCCAATGATTTTCATCAAAATATTTTGGCCAATGGTATTTTTGGTGGTGAACGATTCGAACACCGCCGTCTGTCAATACAAAACGGATGTTAATCGGCAGTCGAAGCAATGAAATGCAATGTACTTAGCACATTATCACGTCAACGTGGGAATTAAAGACAAACAACTGTCGAAAATGGATTGAATTCAGTTCAAAACATTTTTTGTTTATTTTGGTTTGGTGTTTTAGTTACCTTGCCGAAAGGCAGAGTTTCCGTTTTACGACAAGACAGACCAATGGAAAAGTTAATTGTATACAGGTTACCCGAGGTGAATTTCTCACTAAAAGCTTCTCTTCATTTATATTGGAATGTTATCACTTCAACCGCACTCATTCTGCCACTTAAACTTTCTTCTTTTTTTATCACGTAATACGAAAGATCATCGAGAAAATCGGATTTAACATAAAGTACAAAACTTAATGTTGGAAAATTAATAGCCAAAGTTTAAAGCGGAAAATGCGATTTCTGCACTGCAGTGATATATTTGAATAAAACCGAACTAAAATTTATGACTATCAATTCGATTGGTTGTGTTGTTGTTTTCTGTTTCGCATTTGCCAGTTTGAAATTTATTTGTTCATATTATTATGGATTTCGATTCGGGCAGTTATTTTTTTTTCGTTCTTTCAATGTTTCCGTAGTGTGTTTGCTTTACATTTTGCGATTTGACGGAAATTTACATATTTTATTTTCTATCGAGAATGAAAATGTTCCTCATATTTTCAGTTTTTTTTTTTTTGTAAACGACCTTTACACCAATATTTATGGTGGTTCGATTCAATACGGAACGTGAATTTTTCCACACAAACCAAACAATATGCTCCAAAACTCAAAATATGGATCTCTTTTTTGTTGCGTTATTATTTATCTTAGAGATTTTTTTCCACCCCAAATTCATATATGCACACTGTCGTTTGTTCACAAATAAAAGAAAAAAGAAAAACACATTGAGTGAAATTGCTTTATATTTATGACTATCCATACAAGGAGATATTCATTGCACCGAGAGAGAGAGGGAGGTGAGAGAGAAACACAATTGGAATGAGGGAAAAAAATAGCAAAAAATAAATAATTTTTTATTAGGAGTTTGTGTTATTGAAGCATGAGAATTGTGTTATCACAAACACAAGATAGCGAGAAAAACAGTAGTCAACTGAATTTTCCATCAATACGCCCCGCTTGACTCTAACTCACACGCATACATTTTTTATGAATTTCTTTATTTTTATTGTGATATTTGGCTCAAGAATAGGCGGCCTCTTTTCGATATATTCAACGATCAAACTGAAGACAGAATTTATGGTGAAAAGGTTATGTTAGACGCTCCTAGACACCAGAGGTTATCATACAAAATAAACGGCAAACACAACCAAGTATTTTGATACCGCGCTGCTACACAAAACAAACGAAATGAAATAAACAACAAAACTCTCTATATATGACTCAATTTATATTCATCAACACCCTCTATCTTGTTATTTAAATCACTCCGTGTACACATTTTCATTTCAACTCCCAATGCTTACTTTTTCATGCTAACGGGATGCTCATGTGTTTTACCACTTTGGGTGTTGCTGCTTCTCGTGCATATTTTT